ACTGCTCTATTTATTATTGTCATTCCCAAAGGGACAGGTGCTTGTGGGGAGTTCCAGATTCTTGTCTTTCAGTTTCTCCATTCCTCAAATCGGGGAATTTCAGACTCATAGTATCTCTAATCCTTCTACTTCAGATATTTTTTGTTTTTGGAAGTACCCGGATTATTTCAATTCTGCCCCACGGGACGGGTCCCTTTTGAGGAATTCCAGATTCATTTTCTAGTCTAGCGCTACTTATCAACTTGTTATAATCATTCTTCCCACAGGGACGTCGTTCCCAAAGGGACGGGTGCCTTTGTGGAGTTGAAGGTTAATGTTTTGCAAATTAGCCTACTTATCATTGCTATTTTTGCTTCTACTTATTCCAAGAGGGGCGGGTGCCGTTTGGGGAATTCCAGGTTCATAGCTTTGCACCTTCTGATAATTGCTCTATGTATCATTCTCATTCCCAAAGGGTAGGGTGCTTTTGGGGAGGTCCAGAGTTCCACATTCATGTTTTCCAAACAATTACTTCCAGGGGGGGTAGAATTCCAGATCCATATTCTTGCTAATGATTGTACTTATCATAATGATTTGATTTAGTCCAATGGTTCCCAACGGGATGGGCCCCTTTCAGGAATTCCAGATCTATTATCTAATCCAATGATTCTCATGGTTCATAATCATGCTAAGTATTCTAATTATTCTCAAAGGGACGGGTGTTTTCTGGGGAGTTAAAGGTCAATCGCTTGGTACTTATTCTATTTCTCAACGTTGGTCTAATTAGCCTAATTACACGAATCTTTGAGAATCGTGTCAATATTTGGAAAACAGCACCTTATTCTGTGTAACTATTATTAACCAACATGAATTGAACAACTAGTCTACTTAGAATATGTATTATAAAAGCAACATGCTTTCTACTCGAATATGTTCAAAGGGACGGGCGCCTTTTGGAGAACTCCAGATTCATTTGTGTCCAACGTCCTAAATAGTTAGAACAAATGAACATGTTTGGGGAACTAAGTATTTAGATATTTCACACAATTTAAACAATTTCAAGGGCACCCCCTGGGCTAGTTCCGAAAATAAAATTGTCCTAATGAAAAAGTTCAAATAATTCCAAAATGCGAACTGCTTATTTTGATCAAATAATCCAAGTTATGTCCAGGGCCCTTCCTGGGCCCATTATAGAATATTTAAAGAATCTGGGTGTCTCGAATTCAAACAATTCGAAATTATGGAATGTACAAATGTGTTTCTTAGCGCATTATTCGTTGGAGGCTCGGAACAAAAACGTTTAAGTCATTTAGATAGTTCTACGAATTTGACTACGTGTGCTATTCAATTTGTTGGAGCCCTGAAAAAGACATATCCTGGGCCCTCCTTGGGCCCGTGCGGAATACTCAAAGAAGACAAACCTTCAATCCTTTTGGCGGCCCCTGAGAAAGCATTATAAAAATGTGTTTGTTCAAATTCTGGAGGCATCCTTTTTTAAATATGAAAATTGAATCATTTCTAGGGTTCTCCCTGGGCCAGTTCCATTCTGTTTAAACAACCTAAAAAATCAGATAATTTAAGCATTTTTTTTTAATTTCTGGAGGCCTCCAAAAACCAACAAAGAATCCAGGGTTCTCCCTGGGCCAGTTCCAGGATATTTAAAAAATGTTTTAAACATGTCAAACAATCTAAAATTATTTATCTTCTAATTTTTAAATTTCTGGAGGCCTCCATTTTTTGTACAAAAACAATAATTAAATTCCAGGGTTCTCCCTGGCCAGTTCCCGGATATTTAAAAAATATAGAGTTTGTTTTTGTAGTTATTTGTTCTTAAATTTGTAGATGTGTCTAAAAAAAGTTTTCCCTGGCCAGTTCCCGGATATTCAGCAAGTTTGAAAAAATAACAAGCAAACCAATAAACATTCATTTATTAAAATTTCTTAACTTTCTGGAGGCCTCCATTTTTTGTTTTTTGAGTAATATCCCGGGTTCTCCCTGGGCCAGTTCCAGGATATTGGAAAAAAATGAATAATTAAAAAGATAATAAGTCTTTATATTTAATATATATTCTTTTAATTTCTGGAGGCCTCCAAAAAAAATGAATAATAAAAAATAGTTTCCCGGGTTCTCTCTGGGCCAGCTCCAGGATATTAAAAAAAATCAAATGATTTAAATAATTCAAATAATTTAAATATTTATATTTTTTAAAAAAAAAAAAAAATAAAAAAAATCTGGAGGCCTCCAAAGATATTAAAAAACCAAAAAAAAAACATAGTTTCCCGGGTTCTCTCTGGGCCAGTTCCGGGATATTTAAAAAAAAATCAAAAAACAATGCAAAACAATAAATAATTCAATTCATTCAAATATTTATATATATATTTTTTTTTTTAATTTCTGGAGGCCTCCAAAAACTTTAAATTAAAAAATATAAATAGTTTCCCGGGTTCTCTCTGGGCCAGTTCCAGGATATTTAAAAAAAATGAAAAAATCAAATAATTTAAATAATTCAATTAGCTTAAATATTTATATTTCTAAATTTGAATTTCTGGAGGCCTCCATTAAAAAAAAAAAAAGTTTCCCGGGTTCTCTCTGGGCCAGTTCCAGGATATAAACAAAAATCAAACTAAAAAAAACAACAAAGACATTCAATTAGTTTAAATATTTATATTTTTTAATTTTATTGAAATATCTGGAGGCCTCCAAAACAAATTAAAAAATATAAATAGTTTCCCGGGTTCTCTCCGGGCCAGTTCCAGGATATTTGAAAAATTAAAAAAGTCAAATAGTTTAAATGATTCAATTAAAAAAACAAAAAAAAAAAACAATCTGGAGGCCTCCAAAAAAAAAGGCTTCCCGGGTTCTCTCTGGGCCAGTTTCAGGATATTTAAAAAGTTTCAAAAAATCAATTAATTTAAACATTAAAAACATATAAATAGTTTCCTGGGTTCTCCCTGGGCCAGTTCCAGGATATTTAAAAAAATAAAAAAATCAATTAATTAAAAAAAATCAAATAATTAAAATACTTATATTTTTTTGTTTTTAATTTTTCTATTTTCTGGAGGCCTCCAACAATTAAAAAAATAATAGTTTCCTGGGTTCTCCCTGGGCCAGTTCCAGGATATTTAAAAAAATCAAAAAAAAAATCAATTAATTAATTAATTAAAAAAAAAAAAAAATATTTATATTTTTTATTTTTTTTTTAAATTTCTGGAGGCCTCCAGAAATTTATATATTTAAAAAAAAAAAAAAAAAAAACAATATATAAATAGTTTCCTGGGTTCTCCCTGGGCCAGTTCCAGGATATTAAAAAAAATCAATAATTCAACTAATTTAAAAAAGTCAAATAATTTATTTATTTTTTTTGCAATTTCTGGAGGCCTCCAAAAATGTAAAAAACAATAAAACAAAATATAAATAGTTTCCTGGGTTCTCCCTGGGCCAGTTCCAGGATATTGAAAAAATCTTTAAACAAAAAAAAAAAAACTAATATAAATATTTATAGTTTTTTTTTCAAATTTCTGGAGGCCTCCTAAAAATTTTTAAAAAGATAAAAATTTAACTAGTTTCCTGGGTTCTCCCTGGGCCAGTTCCAGGATATTTAAAAATAAAAATAAAAAATCAAATAATTTTACATGAAAAACAAATCAATTAATTTAAATACTTAAAAAAAAAAAAAAAACAATTGTTTTTAAATTTCGGGAGGCCTCCAAAAATATAAAAACAATTAAAACATATAAATAGTTTCCTGGGTTCTCCCTGGGCCAGTTCCAGGATATTTAAAACAAAAATAATTAAAAAAACAATAATTTTAAAAAATCAAATAATTTAACTATTCATATTTTTTAAATTTCTTAAATTTTGTGGAGGCCTCCAAAAATTTAAAACATTTAAAAAATATAAATAGTTTCCTGGGTTCTGCCTGGGCCAGTTCCAGGATATTTTAAAAAATAAAAAAAACATCAATTAATTTAAAAAAAAAGAAAAAACAACAAATAATTTAAATATTTATATATTTGTTTTAATTTCTGAAGGCCTTGAAAAATTTGAAACTTTTTACAAAAATGAAAATAGTTTCCTGGGTTTTCCCTGGGCCAGTTCCAGGATATTTGAAAAAAATAAAAACAAAAAAATAAGAACAAATCAAATAATTTAAATATTTATATTTTTGAAATTTTGTAAATTTCTGGAGGCCTCCAAAAATTTTCAAAAAATAATAACACAAATATATAAATCGTTTCCTGGGATCTCCCTGGGCCAGTTCCAGGATATTTTAAAAAAAAAAAATAAAAAAAAATCAAATAGGTTTTTTGTTTTTAAAAAAAATAAATAAAAAATCTGGAGGCCTCCAAAAAATTTAAAAAAATAAAACAATTAAATAGTTTCCTGGGTTCTCCCTGGGCCAGTTCCAGGATATTTAAAAAAATAAAGCATTCAACTAATTTAAAAAAGTCAAATATATTTTTTTTTTTTTTGCAATTTCTGGAGGCCTCCAAAAATGTAAAAAAAAAATAAAAAAAATATAAATAGTCTCCTGGGTTCTCCCTGGGCCAGTTCCAGAACTGGCCCAGGGAGAACCCAGGAAACTATTTATATGTTTTAAATGTTTTATATTTTTGGAGGCCTCCCGAAATTTAAACAAAAAAGTATTTAAATTATTTGATGTTTTTTTTTTTTAATATCCTGGAACTGGCCCAGGGAGAACCCAGGAAACTATTTATATTTTTATTTTTTTTTTTAAAAAAAAAATTGGAGGCCTCCAGAAATTTAAAAAATAAAATACAATTCATTGTTTAATATGTTTTTTTGATTTATTTATTTATTTATTTATTTTAATATCCTGGAACTGGCCCAGGGAGAGCCCGGGAAACTATTATTCAGGGCCTTGGGCGACACATAGGCCAAATTCTTCCCTCTTGCCCGCCCCCCCCTCCCCCCCGCCCCCTACCCCCCCCCTTCCCCCCCTTCCCCCCCCCCCCCCCTTCCCCCCCTTCCCCCCCCTTCCCCCCCCCCTTCCCCCCGAGGTCCAGCTCGCTCTCGGCGAGCCTGCTGAGCCCCACGGCGGGCAAGCGGCCTATGGCCAGCACCCTGGATGAGTTCAGCATGGCCCGGCGCCCGGAAAGCGCTGGAGGACCTCCTCCAAGTCCAGGTCCCCCAGCAATTACTAAAATAGACTACAGAAAAAAGTTGGTACCTTTATTCTAACCTCTCTACTGGAAAACCTAGATTTCGTTGTTTTTAGATTTTTAGGGTGGAGTCAAATATGGATCTGAAGATGTTTTGTTTTGTTTTGGTAAGACCGTGGGGGTCTTGGCGAAGTTGGGTTGGGAGCTTTGGAGTTTGGGCTACAACTGGGCTCAAACCACCCGCTGAGAAACCCTTTGAAGGCAAATGTGCGAGCCTCTTGGCCCCGTTTTTGTTCTGCGAACTTGCCAAATAGATGAGATGGGAAGCTCCTTTCGACTCTCGCGCCTCAGGAAGACTACCTTTTTGGCGACTCCATGAGTCAGACCTTGAGCGGGCCGGCCTGGCTCATCGGATTGCAGGATGTGGATCATGGGTCCTCAAGAGCGCATAGCTGACATTTTCCAAAACACGCAGGGGGATGGGATGTTCTCTTGCGCTGCAATGGACCCCAATGCATCAATTCACAAGGTCCCAGCCTGAAGCGCCAAGGAGAGAGGAGGAGCTTTGGGGAGGGCAATTGCCGACTGTTGGGCTGCAAAATCCCATGGCTTTTGACCAACACGGGGATGTTTTTGTTAAAACAAATGCATGTACTTAATCAGTCCAAGAGTTCCAGAAAACTCGGCTGCGCGCTGAGAATGCAGCTGCCAGGAACACGGAGGGGGAGTTCTCTGCTTCGAGACCAGGCGGGCTGGGGGGCTGGGGACTCATTCGCCCCCCGCCCAAAAGATATATATGGGAGTCGTTCTACGGGTCCTTGTAAGGAGTTTGGTATTCGGTGACCATCGGTGTTGGTTGAGGTAGCTCCGCGAAAGATTCGCGATGGAGTTGCGAAAGTAACTTTTTTGTTCGCGAAAGTTTTGCGTAGCTGCATCTTGCAAATCAGTAATATGTGAAAACACTCATCTTTTCTGCTGAATCTTCCTTCTAAGCTGATTAACACATTTTGTTGTTTGTCCCCTGATAAAGCCTGGTGACGCTACAGTTTGATACCCTGCTTCGCTGGTTAGTGCTCCAGGTGTGAGGGTGTTAGTCGGTGGCTTTAGAAACGTGAGTGATGTTTCGCGAAAGTTCCGCGAAAGATCCGCGAAATCCCGCGCGAAAGCGCAGGCTTCGATTGCAAGGGGAGGTACTTTCTGGGCGCCGCGCTAGTCAGAGTACTAGCTTGGTACTGAAAACTTGCAACTTCAAGCTGGGGCTGCTTTCGTGCTGGAACAGCGGAAGTGCATTTCGTGCACTGGTACTGAAAAGTGGCGAATTTCCAGCTGGAGTCGCGGAAGTGCATGTCATGTACTACCCTTGTGATGAAAAGTTGCGACTTTATTTCGCGTACTAAACCGGTACTTAAAAGCTGCGACTTCCCGACTTGAGCAATGAAAAGTGCACGGCGATGAATCCGCGAAAGATTCGCGAAAGTAACTTTTTTATTCGCGAAGAATGGCCGTTTCGAGACAAAGGAATTTAGAACAACCACCATATATATATATATATATGTATGTATATATATATATGTGTATATATATATATATGTATGTGTATATATATATATATATTTATATATTCATACTCTGTGGGGGGAATCCTTCACGGGATCCTTGGGAGTGGCAAAAGGTTCCTCTTGGCACAACAACCAGTAGACAACTAGTATTACGTATATTTTAGCGCCTCCGGCTCAGGCCGCCGACATTACAGGCCTGCTTTCTTATTTGCGTCCCTTTGGAATTGTCCCCTTGCCCCCCTTCCCCTCAAAGATTTTTGCCCCCCTTTCCCTGTTGAGATCCATTCCCCCTTTCCCCCCTAAGGCCCTTTCTCCTTCTGAGATTTTTCCCTTTTCCTCCCTAAGATGTTTTCCGCCCTCTCCCTGTTGAGAACCTTTCCCCCCTTTCCCCCCTAAGGCCTTTGTCCCCCCTGAGATCATCTCCCTTTTCCTCCCTTTCCCCCACTTTCCCCCCTAAGGCCTTTTCCCCCCCTGAGATCTTTTCTTTTTCCTCCCTGAGATCTTTCCCCCCTTCCCTGTTGAGATCCTTTCCCCCCTTTCCCCCCTTTCCCCCTTAAGGCCTTTCCCCCCGCTGAGATCTTCTCCCTATTCCTCCCTAAGATCCTTTGCCCCCTTTCCCTGTTGAGATCCTTTCCCCCCCTACCCCGAAGGCCTTTCCAGATCTTCTCCCTTTTCCTTCCTAAGATTGTTTCCCCCCTTCCCTGTTGAGATCTTTCCCCCCTAAGGCTTTTTCCCCCCGTGAGAGCTTCTCCCTTTTCCTTCTTAAGATCTTTCCCCCCCTTTCCTGTTGGCCTTTTTTCCCCCAGACCTTCTCCCTTTCCTCCCTAAGATCTCTTCCACCCCTTTCCCTGTAGAGATCATTTCTCCCCTTTCCCCCCTAAGGCCTTTGCCCCCAGATCTTCTCCCTTTCCTCCCTAAGATCTTTCCCCCCCTTTCCCTGCTGAGATCCTTTCCCCCCTTTCCCCCCCAAGGCCTTTCCCCCCCTGAGATCTTCTCCCTTTTCCTCCCTAAGATCTTTTGCCACCTTTCCCTGTTGAGATCCTTTCCCCCCTTTCCCCCCTAAGGCCTTTTTTTTCCCCGCGGTCTTCCTATTCCTCCCTAAGATCCTTTGCCCCCTTTCCTTGTTGAGATCACTTCCCCCCCTTTCCCCCCTAAGGCCTTTTCCCCCCCAAGATCTTCTCCCTTTTCCTCCCTAAGATGTTTTCCCCCCTTTCCCTGTTGAGATCCTTTCCCCCCTGTCCCCCCCCCTGAGATCTTCTCCCTTTTCCTCCCCAAGATCTTTTTCCTCGGTTGGGATCCTTTCCCCATTTCCCCCCGAGATCTTCTCCCTTTTCCTCCCTAGGATCTTTTCTCCCTGTCCCTGTTGAGATCCTTTCTCCCCCTTTTCCCCCCTAAGGCCTTTTCAGATCTTCTCCCTTTTCCTCCCTAAGATGTTTTCCCCCCTTTCCCTGTTGAGATCCTTTCCCCCTTTCCCCCCTAAGGCCTTTCCCTGAGATCTTAAGGCCTTTTCCCCCCCTGAGATCTTCTCGCTTTTCGATCCTTTCCCCCTTTCCCCCTAAGGCCTTTTTCCCCCCTGAGATCATCTCCCTTTTCCTCCCTAAGATGTTTTCCCCCCTTTCCTGTTGAGATCCCTTCCCCCCTTTCCCCCCTAAGGCCTTTTCCTTTCCCCCCCCCCTTTCCCCCCTAAGGCCTTTTTTCCCCCTGCGATCTTCCCCCTTTTCCTTCCTAAGATCTTTTCCCCCCTTTCCTTGCTGAGACCCTTTCCCCCCCTTTCCCCCCTAAGGCCTTTTGTCCCCAAGATCTTCTCCCTTTTCCTCCCTAAGATGTTTTCCCCCCTTTCCCTGTTGAGATCCTTTCCCCCCTTTCCCCCCTAAGGCCTTTTTTTCCCCTGCGATCTTCCCCCTTTTCCTTCCTAAGATCTTTTCCCCCCTTTCCTTGCTGAGATCCTTTCCCCCCCTTTCCCCCCTAAGGCCTTTTGTCCCCAAGATCTTCTCCCTTTTCCTCCCTAAGATGTTTTCCCCCCTTTCCCTGTTGAGATCCTTTCCCCCCTTTCCCCCCTAAGGCCTTTCCCCCCCTGAGATCTTAAGGCCTTTTCCTCCCCTGAAATCTTCTCGCTTTTTCTCCCTAAGATCTTCTCATCTCCCAGCAGCTCCAGGTGGACTCCGCTACTCAGGCCATGGAGCTGGCCCTCATGCGGCGGGAGGATCCTCGCTGCTTGGCCCTTGAAGTGATCCGCGCCACCAAGGCTCCCTGTCCCCAGGAGTTGGCGGCACATGCGGTCCCCTTCATGTACACGGCGCCAAAGGTGAAGGCCACACCGCGCCTCCCACGTGTTCCTCTTCCAGGTGATCGAGTCTTTCCCAAGCAGGCCTCGCAGGGATACTCCTTTGTCAGCGGGCCTGCCCCGTTGACATGGCCCGAAGCAAACCGCAGTGGCAGGACCCGATCTGCCCGAGGCCCCGTTGTTGACCTGCCTAAGGCTGCTCCTGCTGGCGCCTCATCATCCACTTCGCAGCCCCTCCTCGGCCAGGGCCGGCCCCTCACCGCGTTCTTTCCCTTCCAGGCCAAGGCCCCATCTCTCCGGCGTCTACCACCACCTCCTTGAGGCCACCAATGCTGCCGTCTACCCATTCCGCCCCAAAGCTGGGTTCCTCACGGCGTACACACGCCCCTCATAGGCGTTGATTTTGCTTTTTGCTAACTCCGCTGGATTCCAAAGTGTGCAGCCGCAGATTTGCACTTTTCTTTCTCTTCAGTTCCAGTCGCATTACATGTGTGAGGTTGCATGCCGCCTGCGTGACTTTTGACTTGTCACTACCAGCCTTGTTTGCGCGTTGCTTTCTGGTGTACCCGCTCAGGTGACAGAGACCGCCATGGTGCCAGCGTTTGAACCGTATTTCCACTTCTTGCCGTGGGGCCGGTTGCCATTTCCTACATAAAACAGAACGGCGAAACGAGAATTTGTCCTTTTCCTGCCGGTTTCTGCGCAATTTTAAGTGTGGCGTTTGCGCCCATTGGTGATGCAAAAGCTGCGTGGACATGATTAGCATGATGACTGCTGGAGATGCAAAAGATGCGTGGACATGATTATCGTGAGGACTGCTGGCGATGCTTCTGCTTTAGTTGTTTTGACAAGTGCCCTTTTCATTTCGGATGCCACATCAAAAGGGCACGTATGTTTCTGCAGCTTTGGCATGCAATTGCGGTGCTCTTACACGCTCAGGTCTCCGTGCCCCTCCCTCAGAGCCCCGATTGGCCTCCTCTTGGGGGCTTCAGCTACGTGCAAGTTCCGGTTCTGCGTTCTGCCATGCCCTGGTTGCCTCCTGCCAGCCTGCAGCGATATGCCTTTGTTAAGTTAACACCATACCTTTGGCTCAGTCTCTCCAGTCTAGTGGGTTGAATTACATGCGGTGCCATCGATTCAGTCTCTTGGAAGAGGCCTTCCCGCGCACCACTGCCAAGCGCACGCTAGACCTTCTTGAGGGGCTTCCTGCGTTACAGCTGGTTCGCAAACCTGCGGTTGCCTCCTTACGACAGAGCACCCTGCGGCACTCACTAGTGAGCAGGCTTCTCATCCTCTTGAAGGCTGCAGGCGACTCTTGTCCCATTTTCGTGCTGGCCGATGAGGACCCATGGATGGGCTGGCAGCTTGTGTCCGACGTAGTTTCAGGCCGCAGCGAGTCGACCTTGAAGGCACACCTCAGCTACCTAGAGCGCTACTTTGGTTGGTGTAGTCTCAAATCATGGAAATGGATGCAGGAATTCAGGGGGTCCTCGCCCTCTGCCCCCACCTCGGGATATCAGTCCCTGAAGTGGTTTGTTCACATGTTTCAGTGCGCCGCTGACGATGACTTCTTGTCCAGCCCCCTTTTGAAGGGCTCTGCCACACACTCCATGCAGGCCGCTTCGGCAGAAGCCTGCCGTCTTAGTCAGCTAGGTCAAAAGGTTGGAGTGGCTCACGGACTCTGACGACGAGGCATTCTTGTGGCCCTTTACTCCAGGTCTTGCTGGATGGATTTGCAGCGTGCTTCCGACCTTGAGCTGGATGCCCCGGGAGGGGTCACTTACGTCGGTAACACCTTCTACCAGCTCAACACCAGTGAGTATAAGACCTCCAAGAGTGGGGGCAAGAGCCGCCTCATCTTGCCGCTCACCTTGCCCATTTTCTCCTTGAGTGGCCCGTGGTTCCAGAACTGGGTGTCTGCCAGAGAACGCCTGCCTTCCAATCAAGGGTACACTCACCCCACCACTGATTCGTTCAGTGAGTGCCCAGGGTGACACGCCGCGGCCTTGCACAACATCGGAGGTGCCCTTCTTGCTAAGGTCGCCAAGCCGGGAGAGCCCGTGCCCACCAGTCGGTCCCTCAAGGCCACTTGCCTCAGTTGGGTGGCCAAAGCTGGAGTCTCGCCTCCTCTACTGCATGTGGATGCCACGGAATTGTCAGTGAACACCTATTCCCGGGACCTGCTTGCGCCGCCTTTGAGCGAGCTGGTCCGCGTCTTGTCTTTGATCGCCTCTGGGGCCTTCTCCCCAGACACTACACGTTCCGGGTACTTTGCATTGACTCAACCGTTGACACAGGAGGGAGGTGATGCTTCGTCCCCGGTCATGCCTCAGCCAGCCGACACTGACCTCGTGTCCACTGACGCTGCCGCAGCGCCGGCCGTGCCAGCTTCCGCACCTGCAGGCCCACAGTCGCCTCAGACAAGCGACTCCGACTCCTCGTCTTCACAGAGCGCTACGCTGGAGGGCATTGAGGAGGACTTGCGGCTCTTGCAGCTTTTCAGAAGCCTTTCTTTCCCCCCCTGAGATCTTCTCCCTTGACCTCCCTAAGATCCTTCCCCTCTTTTCCGGTTGAGATCCTTTCCCTCTAAGGCCTTTTCCCCCCAGATCTTCTCCCTTTCCTCCCTAAGATCTTTCCCACCCTTTCCCTGTTGAGACCCTTTCCTCCCTAAGGCCTTTCCCCCCCCTGAGATCTTTCTCCCTTTTCCTCCCTAAGATCCTTCCCCTCTTTTCCGGTTGAGATCCTTTCCCCCCTTTCGCCCCTAAGTCCTTTGCTCCCAGCTCCCTTTCCTCCCTAACATCTTCCCCCCCCCTTTCCCACCCTTCCCTTTTCCTTTCTAAGATCTTTTCCCCCCTTTTATTGTTTGCCTTTTTTCCTCCGATCTTCTCCCTTTCCTCCCTAAGATCTTTTTTTTCCCGAGATCTTCTCCCTTTCCTCCCTGAGATCTTTCCCCCTCTTTCCCTGTTGAGATCCTTTCCCCCCTTTCCCTCCTTCATTTCCAGATGTTCCTTCACCAGCATGGGCAACATCCCCTGCATCATCCGTATCCTTGGCAGGCGCTGATGCGGATGATGCAGGTGATGCTGGCGATGTGCCGCTGGAGCTGCTAAGGATGCGAAAGCGGACCCGGGGAGAATCGAACACCCCAATGTTTTTGACCCGCACAATGAACAGCTTTAGTGAAGCGTCTTCGAATCACCGCGTGGTACGTGGCGTACCCCCCCCCCCCGCCCGCAATAATCTGAAAGTGCCCCTGGGGAGGGGTAAGGGGAGGGGTAACAGGTAAAGAGGTAAGGAGCATTTCTTATGTCCAACACGCCGTCTGTTGTCGGCGGATTCCTTCAAGAAATCAGAGCAAAGCGGTTTGGGCATTCGATCAAGATGCCCCATTTGCAAATGCATACGATGCAGTTCATGTTCCATGGAGTTTGCATTTGATACGCAGACAAATGTAATCGTTCTGGAGTGCCCCTGAGAAGTACTACGAGTCTCTGACATATGCCGATGTGAGGCGTTCAGCTTGGGGTTTGTCCCCAACCTGGGGCCCGAAAATGTTGGGATTTCGAGCGTGCTTTGTCTCCGGTGTTGACAGGCGCCCTGCAATTCGGGTCTCAAGAAAGCGGTTTCCTCCTCTTTGAGCCGAAAATTGCCTAGGGCACTAGAGGCTCAACCTGAGAAGGGCTGCGGAGCTTCTGATACATTCTCTGACTCTTTTCTTTCTGAGGGATGCTGGGCTTGACTGTGTCTGGGATTGGGAAGCTGGGGTTCTGTGACGTTAGCGTCACCCCTCCTTCGGGGTGACTATGGCAACAAAATACCAAGAGGGCGAAGATCCCAGTCCAGTGGCAAGAAATGCGTTCAACCTAAGTACTCTGAGGACTGCCCCACCCCACTTGGGACGCAAATCCCATGTCCAGCGGCTCACGCCAAATAGCGCCAGGCATGAAAAGCGGAAGCGGGTTTCTTCATTGACCGCCTGCAACCCACCGGGCCCTGAACCTGTTTCATCCGGGTTTGTCGCTAGGGGGCGGGGAAATTCTCCAAATTGGCCGTTTTCCTTCGAGTTCCTCTCGCCCCCTCCCCCCCAAAAAAAGAGAGAGAGAGAGAGGGAGAGCAAACTTGCCTGCAAGGAGCCACACCCATGAAGAGGGGGGGGGGGTAGGCCGTGGCTCGCAGGCAGCAAGGCGAGGACCATGAAGCTGCTGTCCACTATGAACTTCGACGAGGACGTCTCCCCGCGGCCTTGCAACTGGGCCGATTCCGAAAATGGGAACTGTGTCCAGGCTCAGGCGAACTGGCCGGCATGTTGGCTCAAAACGAGAAGCGCCATGACTGGTGCGTTTTGCTTTCTACAAGGGTGTTTTGGTGGTTTGGGAAAGGATCACCAGGGTGTTTGTTGTTTTCTGCGAGGAAACAAGAGCCATTCTGGAAATAGGGGTTGGTGGGGCTTTTCTGCGGTGCCATTTTTCTCATATTATAATGCAACAGCTGCGCTTCACACTGGCCGTTTTTGAGCCTAGTCTGGCATGATGTAGGTGACGCTCGCAATATGGGCAGTGATACTGGTGATGCCGGCCCCTTTATGTTTTGTCTCTGAATGTTCTGTTCACTGGAAAATGATGGGATTTCCGTACCTCGTTTCTGCCACCCCAGCAAGTGGGGGTCAGGGCAAATTCCCCCCCCCCCTTCCATGCCAATTTTGTTCTACCGTGGTGCTGGGGGGTGATGGCCATTTGATGCATCGCCTGCCGGGCCAGCTTTCAGGGAGCTTCTATGGATGCGGTGTTTTTTTTCAGGGAACAGCTAGCAATTCTGTAGCTGTGAAAGCACGTGCGCCTGTCAACTGCCTTAGTGTGCTGGCAGGTTTCAGATGTGTCCTCCCGCGATTGTTTGTTCCTCCATGTGGCAAGTGGGAACCAACCAGCCCATTCATTTGCTGCTGACCTGCAAGTAACAGTGTCTTTTCCGGCTTCACACAGGCAATTTACGCAGAGGGAGTGACATTTCGGCGACCCTTGTGGGGGGCCCTCTTTGAACGGCGTTTGGTCTTGGCTTTTCAGCCTCGTGGCTTTCCATGCACGCGGCCCAGGTAGCAAGGCGCGCTCTTTGAGGTGCGGAGGGTTTCGGGGGAAGCCTGAGACCATGATCTGGTTGGGCTATTCTTAGTTGCGAGGAAACTCCAAAAGGGCACCCACGCAAAGATGAACACTCTCCTGGTGCAGTGTTTGAATTTAGTTGCCCTTCCCCCCAACATGGCACCTGAGGGAAGTCCCACTGGACCAGTTTCCGTTCGTGCCGACCCTTTGCAGGCTTTCATGTTGAGGGGGTGGGTACCTTTACTTTCAAAGGTTTGTTAAAACATGTGCCAAGGGCCGATTTGGGGGGAGGTCGCACGAATTGTCTACCACACTGGGGTAGGGAGACGATCATGTTTGCAATGCCTGTGATTCACCTGAAAACACTGTTACATACAGTAATTATCTTTGCTCCAAAAAAGAGTGGCGCGTGGGGGGGGGAACAAAGCCGTTTTTTTTCTGCATCTAATTTGAGTGGCCACGTATGATGGACCTTGGCATCATTGGGTCAGCCAACTTTGATACTGTGTGCCAGGTGTACCCATGATTCTGGTAAACGCCCTAGGTAAGAGCTCCCAGCTCCTGTGAGACACCCAGACCGAGGGAAGAACCGTGTGATCTAGTTTGTAGAGGCAAAGGACAGACCATATTCTTTTCAAAACAGGGTATTCCACATGGTGTGTGTTGCAAATAGGCTTGAACTTTTGGTTTTGGCCATCATGTCATCAAGACAAACATCGGGTTCCCCTTCAAGGACTCATACAAAGCATTTCTCTGCCAACAGTTTGGTGACGCGATCGTTCGTTTTTCCTGGTGTTGCCAGCCCGTTGCTTGGGTCAGGGGGTTGGCGTTACACAAGGGTCTAAAGTATCGCTAAATGACTGCCCCTGAGGGGAACCTAACCACTGCAGCCGGCTTGGGGCTAGTCAAAATTATCTTGGACATAATATGGACCAGTGCAGAAGACGGTTATATCAATGGTACGTGTGTTGTCCCAGTTTTGTCACGGACCAACATAAAAAAACTGTTCATGACTCAGATCAGGCAGTGGCCAATATGCACTGTCATATGAATACCATTCTAGCAGTCATCGGAATGACATTGTGTGCACTTGCCAAATCCCACCAGGAAGTGAAGATGACTCACCAAAATTCAATGCCTCTGGGCACACAACACATATTGACAGTGACTCATATAGACCCTGGCTTCAACCCATCTAAAGCGGATGAGTAAAACATTCCTCGGCAGTTTCCTTCTTTGTCCAATCGCCAGCTGGCAGAAGCCTGGTGCCTTGGGTGGCACGAGCTTCTTCCCGTGTGCCCAAGGGCGCCTGGCCCACAATTCGCGTCGAAACTTCCATTTTTTTCCCAACAAGCATAAGGCCTTCGCCTTTCGAAGGGACGTGTGACACATCGCAAGTCGCAAGCCGGCCTTTTGCGCGTGGTTGGGCTGCAGCCGTTTGAGGCTATAGGTTTGCCGCTGAGATTTTGGCGACTCTTTGATCTCATGGCGGAGCGTGTGGTGGTGATCGAGCGGAATACCTTCTTGGATGTCGATGTGTTTCCCGGCCCAGAGTCCCGCTTTTTGTTTTGCGGTCCAAGCAGGGAACCTCGCTCAACACCAATCACCCAAGAAAAGGAGCGGGCAGCGGTGGCCCTTTTGTCTTTTTTTGGTTGGCGGGGAACAAACACAGACTTTGGGCTTGTTTCCTGGTTGATCCCTTTTTTTGTATGGGTTGTCTTTGTGTCTGTGTTTGGGCGCAAGTGGGTCCGAGCAACTGTGGATGGACAGAATCCGGCACTGGAATGATGATTCCCCGGTAGATACCAACAAACGTTTTGGTTTCCACCAGGGCTCAGTGGTGCGAAGTGGATTTCGTCCATCCAGCAAGGCGCAGCTCTGAGTCTCCTGCCCGCCGCAGCTGGGGGCCTGGGGACCGGATCCCACGACCTGAGCCGGTCCTGTTCGACCTGTCCGGCGGCTCGCGAGGAAAGCGTCCGGAACCAGCCGTAAATCCGTAAGGGGTTGATGAAGAAACCTTACCCCCAAGGACAGGATGCAGATTGAGCCGGGGCCTGCTCTTCTTTTACAGGGTGGCGTTTTTTGTTGGGTGTTCTTTTCTTCTGGAGGTGGAGGTGGCCGTAAGTCAGCTTGGGTATAGGCAACGCAAGGTACCACCACGTGTTTCAAGGGCGAGGCGGACGTGTTTGACCCGGCTTTGGGGGAGCACGAGAGCTCCGGTGAGCCGCTCGACTTATGCGAATGGCTTGGAGTCCATTAAATTGCCAGCAGGTAGGTTCCATTCATACAAAACCTTGGACACAACTACTTGGAGGCTCGCAAGGGTCTGGGTGCACTTCCGCCGTTTTTGGCCTGATTCTTTTTGGGATGCAAAAACTGGGTCCCTCGAAGTAGTCACGTTTTGTGGGATTCTCAACATGTTTTCTGTTCCTCCTCGGGGCTTACAAACTGTTGTGATTCAGATGGCCGTGGCTCAAAACATCCTCTCTGAAACAAGCTTTCCTGTTGAGTTAGGACATGGTCAGCGTGTTTTCTTTCCTGCAAGTCAACTGTTCAAGGTGTTCATTCAAAGAAATCAGCTAAGTGCCGGCAAGTATACTGCAAATCAGCCAACCACCCACCAAAAGCAAGAGCTTTAGGCTCATATCCAGAACTGGTCCTGTGGCTGGTTTCTTTGAATTGGAAGCGGACCGGCATCATTTATCACATGCTTGAACCACCGAGGTCGAGTCCGACCGAAGCCTCGACCAGCCCTTGCGTGTTCTTCTCCTCCAAGCGCTTGGCACAGCCTGCCGCTTTCGCCATGACCTCGATGCAGGTGAACTGGGCGGACCACGGCCGCGGAAGCTCACAAGGGACAAGTTGAAGGCGGGAGCTTCTCTCGGCAAAGCGGACGTCCGTTTTGTTGTTTGTTTGACAACACGAGACATAAAGAGACCGTTATTTTTTGTTGGGCCGTTTTTTTTTCTTCTTATTTTTGTTCTGCACTTTCGGGTGATATTTCAGCTTCAATTGTTTCCCCCGCTTCAGACAGTCAACAGTGAAACCGCCGAACTTCTGAACGGTGAATGTGGAGGTGAAAGTCTGCTTGGAGGAAGGCTCCCTTGCCTCAGGTTTTAGAATTATTGCCTCCTTTTCAACACAATACTCATCAATAATGTTCAGTTATGTGTCGTTACCATTTTGTAGTTGTGAAATAAAATGAGCTTCCCTGACTTGGGATGTTTTATTCCGGGCTTGGGAGTTCAAGCGGTGCATGTCAGAAAAATAGGACACCAAAGATCAGCTCACTTTGGATTCCCTTTCAAACAATAACAATGACACTCTCAAGTAGGAACCATGCGCATCCATTTGTTAGCTGGAAGCATTGCGTGGAAAGCAAAGCGAAGCTCAGGCGGTCATTGCCCGAGTTTTCGACCAGCTCCAAGACCCGGCCACCAAGCAGGCGAAGTTGCAGAAGATGGCCGATCGCTGCCACTACATGCGCCTCTGCTTGGGAATCGCATTGTCGGACGACTTTTTTCGGGGCTTCCACATTTCCCCTACACAACTGGTCAAATCCACCCGACCCTAGAGGCGCTTGCCTTGGGTCGCGAGGGCTTGAGGAAGCAGGAAGCCAGAATGTTCAGGCTTCTCCACCCAGTGATGGAAACCGTGTCTGGGATAATATGATACAGTTACATACGGGTCTGTTTCTTGTTGTTGCGTCGATTCTTTAGTCTACAGGGCCAACATGGAGTCTTGAAGAACTGCTCATCTTATAGCCTATTTAAACGCCTTTTCCAAGAGTTGTGTTTGGGCATGTGCTCTGGGTGGCCCCGTTATTTTTGAGTATGCAAGTATGGCCTTTCCTGTGTGTAGCGCAATAAATACACTGTTTCTCCCCCAGCAGTGTTCTGCAGGAAAGAGCCACAGGCTGCGGTTAATTCACAGTTCATCACGCGCCAGCTGACACTTTACATGGGCCGGCTTATTGCGACGCTCGTGCAATCGCAGTTAAACAACGCGCAGGCCCGCACGGACCGCTTGCTGTTTCGGCTGTTCTTCCCAAGTGCACTTTTGCTAGTGTGTCAAAGGTTCGACTTGCGCGCTCTTTGCCGGCTTTGGTGGGTGTGTGTGTGTGTACCGCTCCCGCTGAGGAGCGAATTGATTGTCGGAGCTTGACAATGAAAGCTTGAGGACTCTGTGACGGACATATCGCCCTTCTGCTATGCGGCTCAAAGTTTGAATCCTAACGTCCAGAACTTTGCCGACTTTTGTGCGCGGCTCGGCGTGCTCGGCCTCATAGCTGTACACGGCGCGAAGGGTCTGTTCCAAGTGCAATGGCGCAGCTGCCCTGCATTGCTGGCACAGAGCACATGCATTACATCTCTTTGTGTCTTTTCATTGGCAAAACGCCGTCCCCGGGATTCATGCCCCGACTCATACCTGCCTCATACCCCAAGTCCCCGAGTCGTACCCTTGCGCAGCCATCTTCGACCAGCAGTAATTGAGCTAAAGCCACCAGATTTTCAGAAGCCAGGAAAAACAAAGCAAAGGACTGCAGAACAGTCGCAGCCAGGCTTGCAGTGCCCTGAAGGAAGAGTTGGAGACCTTGCAAGGAGCGTTGCGAAGAGCGGTTTGTGCTGCGAGCAAGCAGCCAGCGCAAACCTTGGCGGGCGCGCCAAAGCAAGCAAGCGGTTGTCACTTGTCAGCACCTGGGGCCGGCTGCGCGGAAACCCGCGCAAAAGCAAAGCGCGCGCGCAGTCTCTGAGGAGGTGCGTGCCTACTTGCTGACTTCTGACAGCTCGGGCTCAAAGTAGGAGGATAACTTTTAATTAGTTGCAATCCCACAGAATTTCCCCTTAAACTTCCTTTGGCAACGGAAGTTCCTTCTAGGTTTCTACACGCGTGTGAGGATCCCTGGTTTTTTTTTGACAAGGCGCTCCTTGATCATTGGCAAGCTCGATGCTTGATATGAGTGGCTGTACCGCAAGACGCGGTGGATGGTGAGACAGTGAGACGGTGAATCAGGAAACCCAGGGTGTCCATCGAGGAGGTCCATAATCAGGCCTTTTTTATCCTAGAATAGACCCCCTCCTCATAGACACCCCCAGGGCCGATGAGCGATCTCCTTTTGTTTTTACTCACAAGGCCCCGGAATTTCTAGGGGCCGGCACAACGGCCTCCCCTAGCCCAAGGGAATGCACCAGGCTTGAGGGGCGTTGTGCCTCAATGACTTTTCAATTGCGCTGCGGTTGGCTTAGAAGCCTGATGTATAATGCCAGACCAGGAACCTCTGTTGGTTGGGAGCCAAGTTGTCTGGATTGACCGTTGACTGACCAAAGCAACTTTAAGAGTTGTGGCTCAGTGCCCAAAGCGCACTGATATGTCCCGCTGGACAGTGTCCGCCCAAGACTTCTCCAAACCTTCTAGTGAACGCTCGCCAGGTGAAAAAACAGTGCATGCGCTCATGTCTCTAAACAGCATGACGAGCCATTCAAACGACTGTCCCTGTGTGTCTCTGTGTGTCTCTGCGTGTCTCTGTCTGTGTGTCTCTGTCTGTGTGTCTCTGTCTGTGTGTCTCTGTCTGTGTGTCTCTGTCTGTGTGTCTCTGTCTGTGTGTCTCTGTCTCTGTGTCTCTGTCTCTGTCTCTCTGTCTCTGTGTCTCTGTGTCTCTGTCTCAGTTTGTTGCCAGTTCCTCCAAGTGCACAACCTTGGCTGGTTTTTGCTTGGAAAGTGTCCATGTCCAGTGGCTTCCGTCAAATCGTGTCAAGTTTTGTTGATTGAGAAAGGGCTCTGTGAAAGTTGTACGTGAGTCGCAGGCTTGAGTCTGAGGAGAGGTGGGATGTGGCAAGGCGCTCAGCATTCCGGATGGATTCCTGTGGATTGTAGTCAAAATGTTTCCCTCTGATTAATCCCCCCCTCACGGATGTGAGGGGGGTCTCCCTAAGAGCCCGATCTCCAGTCCTCTCCAGTCCTATAGGAAAGTAAAAGGAAGCTGCTTTTTATTTGATCCCAGGCTGGAGAGAGCCAGGATTAGTAAGGGGGACGGGTGTATTCTTGGGGGGGGACTGGCCTTGAGGTGGGTACCGTTCACGAGCTTGATTTTGAACGCAACATGTAGTACACAATTTGGTGTGTCCGGCTAGGTTTTGGGATGGGGAGGTACCGTGCGTGAGCTTGTCAATCGTGATTTTGAACGCAACATGTAGTGCACAATTTGGTGTGTCCGGATAGGTTTTAAAATGGGCGACCCTTAAACCTGTTAAGGGAACTAGCCTTGCTTGAAATTCTGGCAGAATATATTTTGTCATTTAACCATTTGTTTTGTTCATGTTTATGATTTTGGGGGGGGCAAAGAGGACGGGTGCCAAACATCTTTGTTGTTTTGGGCCAAAGCTGTGGGCAACCTTTGAAGTAGAATTGGCTGGCCTTGGGGGAATGGGCAGTCTTTCGTCGCGGGGGTTTAGTTTTTGTAGGCCAACGTTGGTGATCTCTGAGCAATGGCCCGGCCTGGTGTTTCACTTTGAGAAGCTACCGGTCCACGGATGGGGGAACTTGTGGTGGGTCTGGCAGGTCTGCGGGCGTGAATTTTATGCGGGAACCCTTGGGTGGACATCATGGTGGGGATTTATGTCCGCCCTCTATATTTGAGGGTGACCGTGGGAATGTTTAGTTCCAGTGAGAAACAAGCCTTATGTATGGGCGTGTCTTTATTCAGGGTGCCCTTTTCGGGTTCCTAAGGAAAGCAAAAGGAAACCGCCCCTTTTGGGGGCCCCTATTTTTGAGACAAACTCACACTTATGGCAACAAATAGTTGCCAACAGTTTGTTCACATCATTTCTTTTAACATCCAGTGCTTCCAGTTTTCTGCAGAGAGGAAACTTCCATCTACACGAATCCAAAATGTGGGGTTTCGCCCCGTTTCACTTGTGATGAGCCTTCCTGGGAGCAAACCAAACACAAAAGGCGCGAGTTCAGCGGCAGCAATTCCGAGGCATCACCGACCAGGAATTCGGACTACATCCGCAGCTGCTCGAAGATCCAGGTGTCGGCGCTCACTTTTGGGTATCTTTCGTGTGGTTTATGGGCAAACAACAAACAGGCTAGGGTCGAAAGTTCAGGCTCACCTATGAAATGGGGCCGCGGTTGTGTGTTCGATCAACCTGGTTTTTTGACCTCCATTTTACCTGGTTTAAATGGGTCCAAACAGCGGGTTGGGGGTCGAACAAAACACATTCAGAAGCTTCCATGATACATAGATGAATAGTCAGCTGACTTACTTCAGGACTCAGCACGGCTACTGCAATAGTGGGGATCCTTATCATTACTGAAACAAACTCACACATCACAAGCTTTTGGACATTGACTTTCATGATCAAAAAGTAACACCCATGTGCCGAGGAAACTCCTTTTGGGGATGCCTTTAGGGGCTTCTTCAGGGATTTGGGTTTGTTTGCAAATGGGCGCCCCCCCCCCAGGAAAAAAGGTGGATGGTTTCCTTTTGGTATCCCTGGCATGTGCCATGGTCAAATGCCACCACGATGAGGATTGCGATTGAGGGGACCATGTCCCTAAGCATGTTTTGCTGTGGCTCCTATCACAGTTGGATCAAAGTAGATTGCACAATTCCATTGATGAACTTAGGTAAAGGGGATGAACAAACCAAACGAACATGGTAGAGTTGAATTCGCCATCTACTTTCACCCGACACCCTCAACAATGACACACTCATTCTGATGTTCGCCGCGCAAAAAAAACTGGTCAGGTGCTAGACAGGTCGCTGCGGGAAGAAGAGAAGCTCAGCCGGAAGCCCAGGGTGACGTTATGAGAAATGTGGCTGTGGTTGTCAAAACCTTTTTGGGATCCCATTTTGGTTGGTAGGAGACTTCACCACCCATTTTAGAACCTATTTTAGTGGATTGGTTGATGTTCACTGGGGGTACGATTTGGGTTTTGACCCTTGGCCATGTCCTCATGGGAATCCGATGGCTAAGGGGCCTATGATCTCCGGGGTACAGTACCCCGCTGCAGGCGTTGAACCCACCCTGTTGATTGTTAAGGGGGGGAAGCATGTTGAGGACGAATGGCTCCATACTCTAAAACCTATATATGGTGGGTGGCTGAAAAGGGGGCAATAGCTTCGGTGGGGTACACCTCGCAGTACATCAGGTACATGACATTCACCCTTGAGGAACTCCAAATGCAGCATGCACTTTTGGTCTCTCGTTAAACGAGTCGACATGGGTACCCTCAAAAGAACACACACACACACACGAAGGAATGAAGGCCTCGCGATCCCCCAGCCAAAACTCCCAAGTTTCATCTGGGTATGGGTCAAAATTAAACCACTAGGGAACCGGTTTGAGTCCTTGTTTCCACTTACCAGGGTTCCATTTTGGGCACCGATTTTTGACCCACAGCCATCTGAGATGCTGACCTGGGCATGCAGAACAAGGAGGAGCTATTGCCCGCGGCTCAGATCTAAGCAACACTGACGTGGAGCCCCCGATCAACGGGGAGATGTTGCAGACTCGTAGCTTGCTGGCGTGATAGGGCGGGGAATGAGGGAATGAACCCTGTAAACCATCCAACTGGTGGTTTCCTTTCAGAGAATCCCCAGGTTCATTCCCTCATTCCCTACCTATCGCACTAGCAAGACAAGGACTATTAGTGACTGTTCGGGGCCATGGAGCATCAAGGGCCATGACCTCGCCGTGGCTCCCCATATGGCTCTGAATCAGTATTGGACATTCAGTGACCCCAAAAGCCGAACCTGGGTCCTATGGATGGTTCATCCAGAAACAAAGACATCGAGACATCTTAAAAGAGATCCATAAATGGGCTTCATGCTGGGGCACTTTGGCGGATGAAACGGGAGGAACGGTCTCTAGAGCTAAGTGAGCGGATTGAAGGGCAGTTGCGCATCAGCTGTGGGGGGTCCTTGCAAACAGCCAAAGCCAAGATTGCTTGTTTGTGTCTGTGTGTGTGTGTTTGTTTGGGCAACCCATTGAGTGCCCCAGCAGAACAGGACCTATGTTTTGCCTTGGCCATTGGGCAACAACTGATTGATTGCTTGGGGTTGTGTGCGAATGATGATCCTCATGAGGAATTCGATACAAATGGTAGACTACTGTTGTAAGGATGGTTCCCGGTCACAGCATGTGTAGATACTACATTATAAATTCTAATTTGGTACCCCCTTGCCCAATTTTTGACATGCGTATATACATGTTCGAGCAGGTTGTGACGAGTGCGCGGGGGGGGGGCGGGGCGCAATATGGACGTATGGTCTGTGCCTTCCTTCGTCAACTTAGGATTTGGACCGTATGAATCAGAGGACCCCTGGATGATGACCCACTGGAATCTGAAGGTGCTGATTCATCCAAGATAGCCGCTAAGGTTTCGTGAAGGCCAGATGTATAGCCAGATTTATAGCTGGGAACATAGGAGCCATGCGGTCTGCTTGCACACTGCCTTTTTAGACTAAGTGTTGGCCCCTCAAAGCGATTCCGATTTCCCGCGCCTGAACTCCACTTAGTTGACCCTGGCAAATCCCAACCCCTCAACATGGGGTGGTTTCCTAAATGTCGATGTGCGCTTCAGGTTTGCCGGTTGACCCACTTTTCCCTTGAACATCAAGTTGGCCTTCCAGTGTAGAGAGCCTCCTTTAGACGGTCCCTGCCTTTTCCGCAACCAAAGTGGCGGCCAAAAGGTCGATCTGACAGTTGAAACGCCGTTCAAACGGAGCCGCTGAGGCTGCAGCTGGGCCTGAAATATGGCTCCATGCGAATGGCCTGGAAGGAGGCGCCGAAGTGTTGAGAACTCCTTGAACCAAACAGCTCAGGATAGCCTTTTTTCTGGTACATGGTGTAGGATGCCTAGGGATCGCCAGTAAGGTTCCATGTTGGTAACCGGAATCATTCCCACCCCTCCGCAAGTCAGGCTACCAGCAAAGGAAAGAGAACCACCCAATTTTGTTCGAACTACGAATGGGTGAGCGTACGCACAACCCCTTCGCTCGAACTACGGCTCAAATCCCCTCAACTCAATTGGCGAACTGGGGATTTTACCCACTAGTTCTTCATTAAAGGGGGCAGGAGACACCGGCAGAACACGTTCAAACCATCCACCCCTGAAGCGAAAGCATTTTCAAACACCCGACCCCCAGATCCCGTCAAACAACAATCAACCCACACAATCAACCCAAATTGCAGATCCCTCTTGGGGGTTCGGTGGTAATGTGAGTGTGGCACAAGGGCTTCGGCAGTTCGGAGGTGGCTGGAGAGGGAGGGCTTGAAGTGGGCGTGGAATTGGGCATGTGGCTTAGGAACCTGGGCCAATTTCGACTGGCTGGCTTGAGGTCGGGGTGTGTCAAGGTGTTTGGACTTGCGAGGTTGGACGTTTGGTATACCAAGTTGCTCTTGCGACTGGTGCTTGGCTTTTGGTGCTTAAGTGTTCTTTTTGGGCCTGTGCTTCGTTGCTCGTTGCATGTCTCGTTTCTTCGGGACTTGTGTGCTTTGCTGCTTCATTTCCGCAGCAGCCGGGGTTCTGAATCGGACCGAAACGACGGTGCCCCGGTGTCTCGCCAGGTCTTCGACCCCTTCGATTCTGGGAAGATCGGGTTCCAGGATCGTTGCGGCCAAACAGAGAGGTACCCAGCTGCCCAGTGGTGCCCTTTCTTTTCCGTTTTATTTGGGAAGGGTGTTTCTTCAAAGTCGACCAACCAAAAGGATGCCCTTTTTTCCCATGGCCACTGAGCATCTGGGGGTACAAAGAGGTTTCCTCATGTGTCAAGCAGGGATTTTGGATCCTCAAATTTAAATGCTTGTTCCTTTTGGTTTCCCTTTGAACCAAGGTGATAAGGGTCGACAAAACGTACTCGTATAGATAGAGGCGGCTTTAGACTCAAATGTGGTTCCTTGTCAGAAGGTGTCAAGTGACTATGGTATGTATCTCAGAAGGGCCCGAAGAACTAGAATCAAGTTGCCTCGTCATGCATGAGATAGTCATGTTTTAGTAGTTATGTAGCCACTTAGAATAGCTGGAAGAGAGTCAGTCCGCAAAAAGACATTCGGCCTTAAGCTCAAAGGTTCCTCGAGGTGTTGGGGTAGATTCCTTTGGATCCCGCATGTGGTTTCTTGCGACAAGGTTTGAAGCAGATTCCTTCATCGGGTACGGTACGACTCAGGGTCACTCGATAAAATTTGCCAAGGCCCGAGGAGAAAGTCCTTGGGTGAACGAAGGCCCAGGACAAGAACTTCCAAATCACTGGTGGGAGCTAGAAGCGCTGGATACTCACATGGCTGGGGATTGACAGGCCCAACCCCCCGCGATCCTAGTGAGTTCACGTGTGCCAAGCATAAAGTTGGACTCTCTAAGTGGCCACCTACGCCGGTGAGTCCATTTATCATTGCGGTAGGCGATCGGCTACTTGCTGCGGCGTTTTCTGGTAAAATGCCTTTGCAAACAAAAAGCTGGCGTGTAAACCAAGGGCACAGCGCGGAAGGGACTTGAGTCATAATCAGTTTGTCCGTGCCTGCTTTCGGAGGGCCACGACCCGTTGGCGATTGTTGTTTTCTCGGCTCACCTGGCCCCGTGCTCCTTTTTTCCCTTTAAAATCAACCACGAAAAAGGGGATGGGTAGGAGCCGTGCAACAGCCGCGGTTGCCAAGTCAGTCGCTTCTGACAGTCTGCGAGTCAAATTGTCCAACGGGTATGGCATCAGCCTTTCGGGCACAGTCCCTCAGAGAGAGCAGTTTGCAACAGGTGCTTTCTAGTTTGAAATCAGGGGTCTTATGTTCGAATGGTGTCCCTTTGCCTTCGGACACCACACCAACCAAGGAGTTCCTTAATTTTCAATACTGCCGAATGATCCCGACGTTCGAGTTCGCGCTGTTGGGCTGCGAGGAGTTCTGCGACCGCATGCGCCAGATTGGGTTCATGGGCAACATGAAGGCGGGTTCACGGTTTATTTGTTGACCTCGCTTTCCAGGCAGGCTGTTGCGCTTAATCCGGATTACGGATTCTGGGTTGCATGCGGGTTTTCAATGCTCCAGCATACGGTTTCGAATTACACTTTGCAGCGTGGATTGCAGATTAATACGATTGCCAACCAGAACAAGGGCTACGCGGATTGCCGATTGTGATTAGGCCCCATTGATTCGAACAGGCTAGAGACTACAATTGAAATGGGTGAGGCTGAGTCAACCCCGACTCAAAGGCCGAGGGCCAGAAGAGAAAAGAAAGAAACAAGCAAGTCGCAACATTGCGCAAAGGCCTGGCAGTCACCAAGACTACCCGGGATTTGTGCGGAAGGTGTGCGGAAGCGCCACGGAAGCCCTCCCCTTCAGGGCAGCGGTTGGCTGTGCTGGAAGACCATTGGAATCTTGCAAGCAACGCAGACACACTCGCCGACCCGCCGCCCAAACCGCACATGTGCGCGCGGAAGCACAGGCAGAAGGCTCAACAACGTGTGCGGAAGCCCGCGGAAGCATTTCCAAGCGGACAAGGCTTGCGAAAGCTACCCTTGGGCATGCGGAAGGCGCGCGGAGGTTTCGCGGAACCTGTAACAACGTCAAGAGAGAACGACAGCAATTGAGATCATCACTCATATGTGGCGAGTCAATTCAAAAAAGGGACCAAAGGCCAAATGGCGACTGATTCGCAGTGGTGGGCTTTTTGAGACAGATTTGAGTCAATGTGAGAAACTGAAGAGACTAGGGAGCTTTTGCCCTCTTTCCGACAGACATGAAAATGAAAGTGGTCAGGAGGCCTTTGAAGATGGTTTGAGTCTCAAACCCTCCTCACTTCTGAACTGTTGGAAACGGGTATGCTCTTTCTAACAATCATGGAAGTGGACAGGAGGGTTTTGGAAGACTGCCGTCTTGAAAAGCCCCGATCAGGTCCGGAAACCCGGGTGGTTCCCTTGGGAGGGGTTTCGGAAGCCCATGAGCAAGAAGGGAACCCAGGTCCCTCCTAAAGCTTCGATTCTAACCTTGGAATCACCAAACCACAAGGGTAGAAAGAATGGCATTGGATCCCCTTATTCTCAGCACTCGCCAAGAGCGGGAGTTTCCATCGGAATGGGAGTTCCCAACGGTCAATGTATGATTTTGTTAACTACCTTTTGGATTCAAAAAGATCAACCCCCTTACCCTCCTTCCCACTAACATGGCAACTGACAGGGGGTCCCTTCAAAAGGAAGTTCATCTCCCAGGTACCTCCCCGCAGGTGCCATTGGAGGAAGGGTATTTTGTCAAATATCGTTTGCCCCATGTCTTGGATCCACCCCCCTCAGCCTTTCTGCGCTTCGTCCGATCCGCAGGACTGCTGGGTGGCCCTGGGCGCGGACCGGGACGGCGTGCTGCGGCTGCGGCACCTGGACCGGAAGTCCGACGAGCTGCCGCTGCCTCGGGATGGAGCGGGAGGTATGGGAAACCAGTTGAATAATGTTGACCCCGGATTAATCAACCCCAGTGAATTGATGTGGGGGTGTCCCTGGTTTTGTTGGGGATTCAACACTTTTGGAGGGGAACACCCCATATTAATAAACCGGGGGTTATTAATTCGGGATCAACATTACGCAGAACCCTTGGTTGATGTGTTTGTTTTGGGCCGGGGGGGGGGCTAGAATTTCATATTGCACGGGTCTTGTCCTGTGACGACTTACGTTGGCTATGGTATTCCACAAACTCCCGTTCTGGTTATTGAGCCCTGGTAGCAAACGTCTAACAGAAGGTTAGCTAAGTCTGGCAATAGCACAAGGGGGCTCAAAGGCTAAACCTCCCTGGGAAACTCCCCCTAGTTCAGGGGCTCACAAACAGGGCTCATTATCCTCACGTTGACATGTAACCCACAGGTTCCGTACTAGTGCGTATTAGTGGAATACGAGTTTACTTTTTGGCAGTTGTTTTCACTGCCAGACTCATCTATTATATAAACTAACCCTGTTTGCCCTTGCCTGTGTCCTTCATTTTTACTTTTAACAATCAAAAAGGGATGATTTTGCAGGGCATCTGAAAAAGTGTGGTGTTGGCTTCTTCGGAAGAGTGGGGAATCAAAGTGGACCCCCCTATAGTGCATGGCCAGTTTTGCGGAATCGACGGAATCTCCAGCAACCACGTCAGATTGCAGCATCGTGCTCCTTGGCTGGCCAGAGCCACAGGACTTGTGGATCCCATGAAGCTTCGCCGAGGCTCTGTTTGCATCGAGGTATTCTGAGGTATTCGTCCAGCTTGAGATTTAAACATCTACAACTTGAGGGAGCAGCAACCTGATGGTCTCCACCGCCGGGATCCACCGGGACGTGTCTGTTTTTTGGTTATCCACCTTGTATCTCAAGCGCGGTGAACTTCCCCGGCCTTTGCGGGTGCAACCTGTCCCCAGCAAATCAAATTAAAGAATGGAACCCAAGGGGGCCGTAGACCCAACAGGTTTCAAATCTGAAGCTCAGGGTCGGTGAAGATTTTGGGAATTTGGCGACACCTTTCTTTCCTGAGGGAAATCAGACTTCTCGTATTGACTAGTAAGGCTTTTTGCTTTCCCGAGACTGCATACCGTTGAACAGCATTCTCGAAATTGCCCTTCGATTAATCGGTGACCGGCAGTACTGTACAAACGAACATGACAGGCTTCGTCCCTTGGCATTCCCTGCACATTCCCTGCAGGTTCCACATTACTGTACACTGTGTTCATGGTTTTCGGGGTTCCGCCAAACCGCAAAAGAGTACTCGCCAAGTGCGGGTTGAGAAACGCCAGCTCTCGTGGCTCAGGATGCAGGGCTTCAGGAACCAGCTCTCGGACAAGTGCCCGGGCTAAAGTGGGCTCACCCGACCTTTTTGGGGGGGTTGCCCCCAAGGATAAAAAGAAGGGGCAAGTTTTAATCGCAACCTCTTGTCCCGTCCCTCGGTTTTGGGTTTGTGTTGAAACGTAGCACGGAAGATGAGCTCTGAACCCACCCACTTTTGGCAACCAAATGTGGCTTTGCAAGCCAGACGCTTGCTCGGGTGCTGACTCGATGGCGATCCCCCTGGCGATCTTCAAAAAGGGGATGGTCATTGCTTGGTTCCTGACCCACGGCCAGTGAAGCCACAGGCAACTGTGTTGGGACACCGTGATAGTAGTCTGTTGAAAACTCTGTCATATGTAAAACACAACGGTGAAACTGACATAAAGAAATAGCTTGTAACTGCCTAATGCAGCCTCTTTAGTCTTTTTGAAGAGAACCACCTTCAAGCAAGGGGGTGAACGTAAACCCGCATGCCAAAGGGCCCCACTCAAAATTCACACCCATCCTGCCTTGAGCCCCCAACTTGACCCACGAGCTCGCCCATCCGCGCAGGTACGGGAACATGCTGCTTGCCTGGCCGGGACCTTTCAACTCGAGACTCGATCCTTTCGGTAGACGTGGCCACGTGGTTGGAATCTTTGGGTGGGCCACTTGTGCTCCTCAGGGACATTCAGGGACCCATTGGGGGTGTTCAGCCCTTCACAACCATTGCTTGCCTTTCAAAGGAGACGTGTCAAAGGAACACGTAGTTCGTTGTTCGGAGGCAAGGAACTCGGGCCTTTGCCTTCATCTCTTTTTCAGAGATCCTACAAACCGCCCCTTCAAAGACTCCCCCGGCATTTGGCGCGATTTGCCGATGACTGGCTTGCCGTGCGGGCATGGTTTGGAGGGCCGATGTGCATTTTTCTCCGTAATGTGCAGTGAAGGGTACCCATCATTCCTTTGCAAAAAGACAAGGTTCACAAGTGAGGGCATGCGAGGTCGCTACACCAGTGTCAGTCGGCTTTGTTGTTCGCTAACTGCTTTCAAGGTCAAGTTGTAGCATAAATCAACAGCTGGCAACCCCAGAGGACAATCACAGGATGCTATTCTTGAGGAATCTCACGAAGCTGGATCAGTCTTCCACTTTAAAAAGGACACCCCTGCTGATTTTTGAGTGGCTTGAATCATAAACTATTTGACCCTCCAAGCGATCGTGGACAGCTTTTCGCGTGCAAATCTGGGATAGCATGGTCTCCTTTTGACAACCAGGGCTCCGTCCACGACAGAATCGCTACGAAACACTGATGAATGGCTGGCAGGTGCCATGTAAGGCCGTCTTGCTAAATTCAAGGACATGAGAAAAGCAAAAGAAGCCAACGCTTCTCAAAGAAGATCCCTTTGACATAGTCCGACAGTACTACCACTTGTCCAAGGTTGACCCTAGGGCACAGGGAGTACCAGCCAAATCTACTAGGAAGACTGAACACCAGGGGACGCTTTGAAACTTGTCAATGCCCATTTGGCGGAGCATTGGCAAGACTCGAGCCAAAACCAAAAGCCAACTTGCAGCTGCTAGATTGTTGACTTCCAAGGATTTGTGTAGTTTTTGTTACCCGTTCCAGGGAGTGTTTGAAATGGAAAGCAGACGGCCCCGTTTTGCACGTTGGGTTTGGAGGCCCGGCTTGTTTCGGCCGTGTTCCAGTCGGAGCGAGCCTCCCAGCCCGTCCCGAGGCAGCAAGGCTTTGACCCAACGGGCCTCACCCTGATTGACGAGGCATGGGTTGCTCTGAACCTCAAAGCAAAAACGGGCAGTGATTAGTAAAGCCCCCCCCAAAACAAATTGGGGGTCAATAGGGAGAAGCCGAACAACTAATTGGAGTTGGGCCTACTCAAGTAGTCTCTCAGCAAGTACTGCTTAGCACACTTGCTTTGCACTCGTCCAGTACTGCTTCGTACTGGTTTAGATGTTAGATGTGTTGTAGTATTGCCACCTAGACATAAACTAATATTCCTTGCGCGTCGAAAGCAACATGTCTGTATTGCCTCCCCGTGTCTTTTTTCAGCAGGGTGTGGAATAATTGTGAAAAGGTGAACTGCCTCCCCATGTCCCAACTGCTACCCGACACTAGTATTGGGTCCTTTTGTGTTCCTTTTCCAGGGACCAAATGTCTACCCTGATGCCAGGGCCTTTGGGGCACTTTTGTTGTTTGAAGCCGAGGGGCGAGTATCGTTTCTGTTTGGCTTGCTTGACTCAGTGAGAACTACTGTCATTCTGGGCTTCTGGGTGCTGGGTTTCGACATTCACTCGAGACAGCTGCCGTTTGCTGTTGTTGGTAAGATGAACCTGATGATAATGATGATGATGATGATGATGATGATGATGATGATGATGATTAAAGCTTGTCGGCCAGCCTGCCGAAAAGCGAGCAGCTTCCAATTCCAACGCAGACCCCCGTTCAAAAGCAGCTCTTTTGATGATGTCGACCACCACGACGGCGACGACGACGACGATGACGACGACGACGGCGGCGCTGCTGAGGATGAAAATAGTGACGATTCTGATGCAGTCGGAGGAGGATGAGGAGGATGAGGAGGAGGCGGAGGAGGTGGAGGAGGATGAGGCTGATTAGGATGAGGGGATTAGGATAAGGAGGAGGGGGAGGAGGAGAAAGAGGAGGAGGAGAAGGAGGCAGGATTGATGAATTCTGAGTACCGTATACTCGTCGTCATGACTATTACGTACTATTACTACAATCAGTGTTGCCACTATGCTAACATGCTGGCGCTGATTGTGCTGATGGTGGTGCCTGCCTTGTTGTGATTCTGAATTGAGTTGTTGTGGCAGTAGTGGTTGGGTGGGTTTGTGATTCGATGCAGGGCTTTGTTTGCTCCCCGTTGATCAGGCAGCTTTCGTGAAGCAGCCGCGCCCTCAGACTAGTCTCAGACTCTGCGACTCCATGGGCACAGCTTAGGTCAGTGCCTCCTATGGCCGTGACGTGCTCCGTTATTGGCATCTAGTTCCCGTGTTGCCTTTTTTCATGCTTGGCTTCCGACAAAGCCTTTTCCTAGGGTCCGTGGTTGCACCTGGCTTGGCATATGTCTGTTGATGTGCCTCAGCAATCAGGGGCCCCTCGGGCAGCTGCACACTGGACTCTTGCGAAGCTGCAGAGTTCCGGAAAGTTCAGAGCCTGTGTTACTAGTACTGTTAGAAACACATGATACACAACCAAATCGGATTCGGGTAAATGAAAGTATTGCGGACATCCGCCCTTCTGATTCTCGACATACAGCCCTTTAGTACCTGGTTGTTTGAGTATGACTCACATGAAATCGAGCTTGTTTTTGTTGCCTTTAACTCCTGCCACGAACTCGAATTAGAAGCGGCACGTGCTAGAGGTCCACAATGATGCAGCAAAGACTTGGGTTGATTCCTTCAATTTCTCTCGTCTGTTGGAATTGTACTCTGGGTTTTGTGGGTTCCCAGGTGCAGCGCAGACGGTGTGGAGGGCGACTTGGTCCTGTCCTTAAATCAGGACATCGGGATCCCCTACCCTACCCTACGATTCCTTCTCGAGGAAATTGCTTTCCTGCGAAGTCGCGAAGTCAGGAAGGTCGGGTCGTTTTCCTTCACCTTACTCTCCCAAAAAAATAGCATGGACCCATCCCAAGCAAAAACCGCCCATGGAAGAATGTTATTTGGATTGGACTCTGCAACTCCTTTGAACAAACTTGGTGCACTGCTGACTGGCATTTCTTGGAGCGACCTCCACTTTACTTTGGCCATGGATAGGGTGCGCCGATGGGGTCGGATGAACGGGAAACGCTCCAAACTCGCACGTGAAAAACACACTCAACATTTGAGCGGGCAAGCCGTTGCCGTTCCTTCCATGGGCTTACGATTTGAAAAACCATTCCGCTACTGGCTTGGCCAATGATCTGCTTACCCTAAGCCAGCTCCTGTTCCCCTTTTTTGTGTGTTGGCCTTCAAGTGTGTGGTTTTGTTAACGATTTTCTGGATGGACTACATTAAACAGAACCGGAGCATATTGTTCTTGATGAACCCTGGGGTGGGCCATGAAATGACTTGTGTTGTGTCCGATCTGCTACGCAGAGCAATTCGCTTCTCTGGAAATTGGGGAGGCAACTCGGCAGCGGAGCTGCAGCAATTCACTCCGTGACGAGCGTGGTCCATGTGTACGTGCACCGAGGGATTCTTGAGGTTCGCTACTGCTTGTCTTCATCCGTCAATAGCCTCTCTCGTACTATCAATCACTCGGAATGCTTTACGCTGTATTGGGTACCCCTTGATGTGTCTTGTTGTCTTCGTGTTTCTTTTTGTGACATTTGAGATAATTCAAGGAAAACACTACAGTGGGCTCTTGTGGAAAAGAGCAGAAACATGGAAGAGAGCACAACTACAAGTTCTAGCATACCAATCCGTCTTTGATAAATGCCGTTGGACAGGTTGGACTAGAGACGAAACCGCAGGCGATCACTTGGCCAAGCTCAGTGCCAAACAAATGAAGAATCTGAAACTTGATGTCCTCGAAAACCTTTGACATACCAGAAATTATGTATACATAATTTTGGAAAAGATTCCTTTGGGGGTCGGGAAAAAGGCTGAAGCTACGCAGAGCCCCCTCAGAAGCCAGTGATGCCGCAAGAGGCTTGGATTGAGATCCTATGAATTCAGGAAGGACGTGTGTGAACCTATGCGAAGCTCGCCCGAACAGCACGCGCCTTCCCCATGAATGATCCTTTTCTTGGAGAGTGTCTTCCTGTGGGCGCTGGAACTCAGCAGGCGAGGGAGAGGCTCGGGAATGGCAGAGGAAGCAAAGACAAGGAGAAGCTCTGTGCCGTTCATTTGGGGAACTTCTCCGCTCCACCACAAGCATGCCCCGTGACGTGATTTCACGTTGATTGGTTGTCCCGCCCCAAACAGGGCACATGATCTGGACACTGTGACTCCAGCCCCTGTCCCTCCACACGTTAAATCCTCTTGATCCTCTTGGGCAGATGCACAGGGCGAGACTGCCATCCAATCGAGCAATGACTGTGGAGCCCTATGGACAAAGCCCATGCCAGGCACCAGTTGGGATGAATGAAACGTGACAGAATGCACCACCTTCCAAGTGCAGGATTCCGTTTTCCGGTCCAAAAATATGGAGCCTAGGACCTGCTCGAATGAGCGATCAACGTTGAAACATTGAAATGAGTCTTTGGAAGCCTATTGTCATGCTGAGCCTTTGAAGCTTCAAGGGGCCCAGCAAGACACCCGAGACGTGCACTTCTCAGTCGCTTAGGTCCAGCTTTTCCATGACTTACTGGTCTGGGCCCCAACTCCAGCTGGGAGGTCTTGCACCTTGGTTCCCCGAGGCTGGATGGGGAGCCCCAAGCACCTCCCGACTTGAGCACCAGAGATGTATTGACAAGGTCTAGCACAGCGGTATGGGCAAGCACATGGTTGCCGTGCCGACGTTTCCTGCAGTCTCAAGCAGGCATGACAACAAATATGATGCCGAGGAGGCCTACACAAGTTCTCACTTGGGTTTGTGTCAAAACTAAAGCAGGCCTCCTCAAAACGTAGCGTTCGCACAGGGTCCAGCTCGTTTTGACGGCCAACAGAACCTCCAGATTGAAAAACAAAAAAAACAAGCTCGCTTTTCCTATTCGCTTTGTGTCCATTGGCTTTGCGTTGCCTGCCCTTTTAGTTGCCTTGGGATTCGATTGTGTTCAGGGACACCCATGAGGAGGTCTATTTCATGTTCAACTGAGCACGGTCAAATGGAAACCGGTTTTACGCACATTTGCGGGACGTGTGCTTGATGTAGAAGCTGGATCATGTGTTTGCGTTCTTGAGTCGTGTAGATGAGATGCCGGCAGCATGTTTGGCCTGATTTGCGTCCAATAATTAGCATGCACACACACACACATACACATGATATATAATACGTGCAGTCAAATATCTAAGCAGAGACATGATGCCTGCTAAACGTGCTTCTGAGTTGTTTTTGTCACAAACATGAACAACCTGCTTTCTTATGTTTCAGGAACCCTTGACTCTGTTTTCGGCTTCGCATCTTAGGACGACCCCATGCGCCAGAAGCAGTTCAAAAAGATGTCGCTGCGAGAGCCCGGAAACCCAGTGGCCCAGTGGCCATTCTGCACGAATGAGCTCAGCGATCAGGGATAAAACAAACTATTTAGCCGTGATGAAGGTCCTGTCAAAGGGGGGGTCCCTTCTTTCAGAGATAGTAGTTTGCCCCACATAGACCGAAGGAATAGCGGATCAGTATTCGGCATCTAAAAGGCAGCTTTAGGCTTCCAACAAATGGACACTTCGCAATAGTGCTGTGGGGCACAGGGAATGAGGACAAAGTCGGATGGCACGCGTGTGTTTGTGTGTGTAATCAGAGAAAAACTTGCTAGTAGGCATCCGAAGATTACACATATTGCACAAAGTACAGAAACAACCCCCACTGAAGCAAGGAAGTCATGCTTCAAACATCCACTGGGAGTTTGGTGGCTGTGCTGACGGAGGGCCGAAATAAAGCATGATCCCGCCTGAGTAGAGCCTAAGGCCCCCCCACAAGAAAGGTATAGTTCTTAGAACCTTCTCAGAACGGATTCTTAGAAGTGTCCTAGAACCTCTCTGGTGGGTGGGGTGGGGGGGGGGGGGGATTTTGCTCCTTACTGAAGAAGGAAGAACTAAACAGGATTGCTCCGAGACTCAGCCGACCCCCTTTTTGGCGCAAAGTAGCCCTGGTGTCCTTTTCCGACCAAGTGTCTTGCGACTGGGTCTTTGGATCACCCCAAAATGGAAAAGGGCGTAAAGCTGAGACATGTGGCTGCCAATGACTGTAATGTCAGTCATAGTGCCTTGCAACTTGCCATTCTAGCGGCATGCAGCTTGTAAGGTCTTGTTAGCGCAATTAATTTAATTTGGGGCAATCGCGTCGAGCCCTTGTGTTTGTCTTATGGGTCTTTGCGCTAGGCAAGAACAGCCGCAACGGTTTTAAAAAAGCCTGGGGAAAGCAGCCCACGCGGTCACGGGGTTCGCTCGCAGAACGGCGGGTAAGAATGTCGCAGCAATCCGCGGCGCGCCTGAAAGCCCGCAGAACCTACTTTGATCTGCCATGGAACTCCCTACAGAGATGCGGGCTTGCCCAGCTGGCGCGACTGCTCAGCGCTCAGTGTTGGAGCTAGTGAGCTGTTCTAAATTATATTGGCTACGATTGCGACGGCAGGCTGATCAGCAAGTTGGAACTGCTCGGCAGGCGCTGTCTGAACCAGCACAATTTTCGTGCCTCCTACGAACAGCCAAAGACTTTTGTTAAGTCAAGTTTGCCCGAACCAGCTTGATGGGTTCAGAAGTTTGGAGAGTCCAACATTGGCGTCAGTCCAGGTTTTCTTGAACTTGTGACTGAACATAAAACCTTGCTGGAAGCAGCGAGTTGGGAAAGTGCGTTCAATTATTTTGGGCGCAGTTGTGTGGCACGTCCACGTGTCAAGCAAAATGCAAAGGAGTAGACAAAGATGTCCTCCGCCCGCTGGTCGGCGCAACTACAAGTCTTCGTGCCCCAAAACGGGGATTGCTTGCGCCCAGGAGCTTGCAAAGTTAGCGCTTGCGACCTTGTGCGGGGAGAAGTTCAGTGTTGAAAAGCGTGCGTGAATGCATGTCAAAAGACATTGCAACTGACCCGGCTGAGAGCGCAGCTGCCTGCCGCTACTTTGCGGGGATTGGGCGACAACGAACAGGGCCAAGGCCTGTTCCGTCCCCAGGCCCAGCAAGCGCCGACGGAGGGCACGACGAGCGCTGCTCAGCGTCAGGGCCGGTGAACAAGCGCACAAAGCTTCTTTGACCGGCGCGCCGTTGACTGCCAGGGCTGCGAAGCATTTGCGCTTCTCACATGGCGTGGAAGGAAGTGACGCCAGGCAACGATTTTACGGACAGCTTAGTTGAACCCGAAGCACGCAATTAAACTAACTAGTTGCGCCTGTCTCTTGCTCGCCTAACTCGGGCAGGGCTTCTCTCACAGTTCCGGACTGTGAGGGGCTGTCCCCGGATTTTTTCTGAAAATTAAATTACTTGCGCCTATCTCATGCTAGCGCTGAGAACCCAAGTTTGGCCAGGGCTTCCCCTCACAGTTCCGGACCGGTCCGGAGGTGTGAGAGGCTGTTTCTGACCTTTTCCGGCGTGTCTGAGACAATGAACAAACGCCGGAGCCTTTCTCAGACATGCCAGGAAGGGTCCAGGAACTGCCCCTCACACTTCCGGACCGGTCCGGAACTGTGAGGGGCAGCCCTGGCCAAACTCGGATTCTCAGCACTAGCATGAGGCAATTAATTTAATTTACAGAAAGAGTCAGGAAACAGCCCCTCACAGTTGGGAACACTGCGAGGGGAAGCCCTGCCCCTGATTTAATTGCGCGCTTCAGCTTCACTTAAGCTGTCTCAAAGCTGTAAGCTCAATGCCTAGCGTCAAATCCTTCCACGCCCTGTAAGAAGCGCAGATCTTCACAGCCTCCATTTTGTCAGGCGCAATGCCTCCCACGCCCCCGACTTGCAGCGCAACAATGAAGGGCCAGGGTCTGGTGCGCGCACGCAAGCCCAGCAAGCGCCGAGCAAGGGCGCAGCATCAGCACCGGTGAACAAGCGTGGCAGGGGCAAGCCTCTTGCCCACGGCGCCATTGACCAACCCAATCTCCGCAAAGTCGCAGCGGGCAGCTGCGCTCTTAGCCGGATCAGTTGTGATTTTTCTTTGCGCAAGGACGCAAGCTCTCGAACTGCGCAAGTCCGAGCACAGATCTCGACCGCAGCCCTGTGACACGCAAACCCTGTTTCGGGGTGAAGACCCATCGTTGCGCCGAGCAGCGGACGGAGTCGTTTGGTCAATGTTACAGAACCAAAACAAGAGAACTAGAAGCACTTTCGCATTTTACTGCTTCTGCGTCAGCCTACAACAGTCAGAGATCAAAATGTGTTTGACTTAGCGGTCAGAAGTTCAAAAGAATTTCATGCCAAAGTTTGATTTGCTTTTCAGATTGAGGAAAGGCCTGTTGGGCTTGCCAAACTTCTGAACCCGCCGCTACTTGAGTCTACGGGGGCTTCGGAAGTTCGAGCTACGACCATCTAGCCAGCGGAGTCAGCGCAAAACTTGAGCTGGTTCAGATGCCGAGCTGGTCGGACACGCGTTTAGTAGCCGTGATAACTTTTACAAATGCTCGCCAACCCTTACGTGTTGCGCTGTACCTGTTCTGAGCGGCGCAGATGCACCGGCTTGCGGCAAGCCCGCGTCTGCGTAGGCCCCCTGCGAATTCCAGTGACCAAACCCAGGCTCCACTTTAAAGCCTCAACAACCAATCGGGTTTTTTTTAATCGAGAAGCGCTTTGGCGGTAGTTGCTGCCCAGTCCAAAGATCTTGGAGGTAAGAAAAGGGCCCGACACGATTGCCCAAATTAAATTAATTGCGTTAACAAGACCCCAGCTGTAGCAAGAACGGCTTATTCAAACCATCTTTGAGTGCCGGTGCACCACTGGGCATCGCTGTATATCTGCCACTCCCAATGAGTCCCTTTGCCAGCAATCGATCCCGGGGAATCATGTGGATTGTCTTGAATGACTTGGTTGCAGTGGCATCACTAGGGCTTTGGTTCGCTCAAATTTGGCTGTAGTCCAGGTTCTGGTCCATGGGACATGGGCAACTCTCGAAACTCCTGGGGCACCGTCTAGGTTGCAACCACAGAACCAGAGTTGGATCCATCACCGACACAGCCATATTTTGGCCCTGGCTCGCTCACCCAATCGCTCCAGCTACCCCCTATACCAAGTAGTAGCCAGGCACCACCAGCAGCCATGGCTCCTTGTCTTTATGCGTGTCGTTTTTGAGGGGTGTCCGTGGGGTGTTTTTTTAAAGGGAGACCAAGAAGGGAAAGACACCCATTTCGAGGAAGCCCCGAGTCGTAAAAATCCGATGGCTCAGGTTCGACCTGGCGGCCTTCGAAGCCTACGCCCGCAGGGACCAAGACATGATCGTGGAGGTCTGGGACGTCAATTGCAGCGGATGTTTTGTTGTTTGTTTCCCCCGCCGAAGATGGAAGGGTAAAACTGGCTCTGTTGACAGCTGCCGGCTGTTGCCTGAGATGGAAGTTGTTCAATCGCCTCCCACTGCCTCCTGAGAAGAGGGAAAAGGAGCCGTAAACGAAGCAGGTCAAGTTCTGGGCAATTGAACTGATTAGCTACAATCAAAGTCTTTGTTTTTGTGCACCAACAGTTTGGTATTGTGGTCCCTTCCCAGAATTTTCAGATGCCGTCATAGCAAGTTTCAAGGAGGACTCATCAAACACAAGACCTACGGAGAAAGCGACGCACCAAGCGGTTTTCCTTTGGTGGACCATTTCTACGAAAGAAGAAGGGCTGTAGAGGGTGCCACTGAACCTGCAGTGAGTCAGCGCTTGGGAACCTCCAGTCTGGCTCATTTGCTCGTTGTGTCATGGTCGACCTGCGTTCATGTGCTTATCCTTGCATTGCAAACAAAGCGTAGCCGCCAAGTGAATAGCTGTTCCCTTTGATTTTGCAGTATAGCGGCAAATGTATATGATCCGTGGATATTTCACTCAAATGAAACCAACTGAGGCATCCCTGAAGAAAGACGAACAGAGGAATGGAATCCTTTGGAGACTTGCAGGGGCAACTGGCGAGGACGAAAGGAGCACCCCACCCACCGACCCCAGCGGCAGCGATCGAAGGCGCAGAAGGGGGAGAAGCCCAACCCCTTGGAGCTGACCTTCGACGAGCGCCAGGTCGCGTTTTTTGGGGGTTGGACTCGAGCCTTTTGGAAGTTGGACCATTTGGTGGTCAAAAACATAAATAAGCTTTTTCTGACCGATCCACTGATTTGAGGGTTCCGAGCCCCTTTTTTGACCCCAGCTGAAAGCTTTGTGGGTTTGTCTCTGTTTTCGGCGCAGTTGTTGGTTCTTGGTTAGGGTTCCGGAAGGCTCTGCTAGTCCATGATGCCAGCATGGCTCAACACTGAAGCTGCAATGCTCCGTACCCTGGATATCAGATGATAACCAAGCACATGGGGATATATATATATATATATTAATATATATATATATATATATATACATATTCATATCATACACATATATATATAAACATATATATACACGTTATCTATATATTCGTATCTTAATATATACATATATGCACGCTTGGGGATGGGTTTCCTTGGTCTTCCCCTTGACAGGGGCCAAGCCTCCACTCTTGTGACAAGGTCTTTGAAGCAACCCCTGGGTGCAACTAGGGGAACCCAGAAGGGGTGTTTTCTTTGCATTCCCTTTTAACCAACCCTCGACAGGGTATCACCAAATAAGACATGCCCAAGTGGTGGCTTCCCTTCTTTTGTTCCTACTTTGGATTCCTGCTTAGGAGGAGGAATCCCTCCCGGAGAGGTGACCCTTCCTTCAACTAGATCCAAAGCCGACTGAACCAACACAAGTAGTCCAGCGGTCTATTCTGAACAAATTGGATCATAACCTCACAAAGGGTCTTGGTTTGTGACCAAAATCACCAGGTTTTGACGGTTCTGGGGGTCCATTTCTCATTCAATGATCCGGGGAGGTAGCCCGAGTAACCGCGGACTAGGAGGGCAGCTGTGGGTGACTGTGGGTGAGCAATCATTGAACGCACTGGCAATAGATGCCAGGAAATTGAAGCCCGAAGGCGTCTTCAGCAAATTCTGATCAACAGAAGAAGCTTGTAGTTCCAGTGGAGCCAGTGTTTTCTAATTTGTTGAGTTGATATTTGCATATAGTTGGTGGACTTTCTTTCTTTAGGTCTTATTTTGGTGGGTTTCCCAACTGGTCACCTAAAGGCATGGTTTCACCGGAAGCAAGACGGATGATAAGAAGCGGTCCAGACCTTTTGACAGTTTGTGGTTGAAATGCTAGAGATGTTCGCTGTTTTAGTCACCGCGATGGGGGGGGGGCGGGAAAGACCCACGTTTTGGGAAAGCCTCTGATTCATCAGCTTGCCCCCCAAAGCGCGTGGCGGGTGGGCAGTTGCCTACCAGCTTGGCTCAGGTTTTGAGCAAGCAGAGTTAGTTGTCAGTCGACAAATACCCAACATCCCCCCATTTCATGCATTGAGGGGGTTGATGATTTCTTCAAAGCATGGTTGTGCCGATTATTGGGCCAGTTGTTCCGTTCTCCGATTTGTTCTACGCGAATCACAGTGTGGAGGAGCTTTGGAGGGGAAAGGGGACCAGCTTCTGATTGCGGATATGTGCATATGTGCCGTGAGCCTTGCAAAATGGTCACACCTGCCAGGGTGAAGTTTGCGCCATGTTGGATACTTGGGGGGGTACCATTTTTCTGCTGGATTACGCATCATTTTCCGGGCTACTTGTGACCTTTAGACTTGCTTGCTCCATCAAGACTTTGTAAAACGATGATCTGCTTCTGCTTCCCATGGCAATGAGCATCTCTTTTTGTGACCAACTCTGGTTGGGCGTTGTGTCGTTTCAAGGGAGTTCTCGCTCCTTATCATCATAGTAGGTCACCAAAGGTTTTCCCGTAACCGGGTGCTATCTGAGCTGTTCAACATCCTTTCCAGGGCGGTTGCGAAAGGTTTCTTCCTTTGAGAGGGAGTATGGATACAATTTAAGCAGCCTAGATGGTGGGAACTGCAAGCTCTGGGTCCACTCAGGGGGCATCTTTTGTTGAAGCTCGGTACCCTTTGTTAACAGTTGCTTTGCAGGGAAATCACATGGAAACTACTTTGGTTTGTGGGTGGGAGGGGTTGCCCCACTTGGAGAAGAGCCTTGTCCGTCTCGCAGAAAACATGGCTTTCCGGCAGCGTGGTTTTTGGGGGTAGCTCAGCCAGGACAACATGTTCTCTGTGAAGTGGACGCGGGCCCGGCGGCCCTGGAGACACGTTAAGTGTCAACCAATGGGTCTACTACAACAATCGTGGAAGCTGACAGCGGGGATTTGGAAGACCAATTTGAAAACGTCCCCTTCCATGATGATTTGCTGAAAAGCCCTAAACTGCTAGACACCTCAGGAAACATTTCATGCCCCTGTCCCAATGGGGCCATCATTTTGAAAGCCTGGCATGTGGCGCGCGGCAAGGCCAGGGACCCTTCTTTGGCTCACCATGAAAAAACAGGTAACATGATGCCATTCACAGCGGCCCTCAGTTTTGATGAAGCATGTAAACATATTGTGTCATGTTAGAAACGATATGTTCCAAGGTTGTTGGGATGTCTAAGTTTATTTCTCTTTGTAAATGCCCAAAGTTGTTTCCTGTTGCCATTTAAGTAGGCAACCATTTTAGAACCAAACAACATCTACTCGCAAATTACTCGTTACTCGAGTGAAATTACTGGAAGCTCTAGGACAGGCGAGTTGCTGCTGATGATGAGCGTGATACAGCTTCCCGTGGGGCTCAGTGATGTACCTGTGGAGCCATGGGTTCAGATGGCAAGCTTTTTGCTCGTTCCTTGACGGGCCCCAGAAGGGGCCTTGTCCACATACATTTAAACCAAAACGGTAGATCCAACCCCCTTCCCCGACATAAGACTCTAGTAAGGCCTTATGCAAAAGGGCTTAGGCGGGTGGGGGGGGGGATCCTGTGAATAACGTATCATTCGCTTCCGCATCCAAAGTCCGCTTCGGAATACTCAGGTGACGGTACTTGTCAACCTGTTCCCACTTCACGTATCAAAGGAGAATGAGAGTTGTCCCCGCTCACTTCTGATGATTCCAAAGGGTTGAATTTGTGACGTGGACGGACCTTCCTCTGGCATTCACAAAGTTGATTGCCAGCATTTTGTGGCGGGTCACTTGTTCAGATGCTTGCTGGTTTGAGTAAAGATGGCCTGGCACGGGGAACTAAGCCGACCATGAGGCTCCAGCATTCTCAGCCCGATAGTTCCAGCTACTCCGAAGCTTTTGGTTGGGCTCAATTTGGAGTTTGTCAACATCCGGGCCCCTGCCGGAGTCCAAATCGTTGCCCAGGACTATTAAAGGTGAATCATGGCTCAATGAGCAAGTAGCTTTTTGATGCTTCTCCGTGGCTTCCTGTGACTCGTGATTCCAAAGTGCACTTCTCCGAGTGTCAATCCCACCCCCTTCACCTGATGTTTTTTTTTTTTTTTGCGGGGGCACTTGGACCCCTGGAGTGATTCTATTTCTAGCCCAGCTTGTGGACTTCGGACCAAACAAGTGGAACTGGGCCACCTAACTTCCAGCCCGGCCGCCTCAATTAGGTAGTCTCGATGTTTATTCTGAACTAAACCTTGGATTTGCCGTGATTCCTTTGACCAGCAGATGCATGCAGGGAAGACCCTCGGTAGGACAATGACAAGATAAGTGAGCGTGGGAAAGCACGGACACAGAAAACCTACGTCCGCCTTGCAAGCCAACCTCAGAGCACCATACTCATGAGAGCGGTGCCCCCAAAATGGATTGATCAAATTCGCACTGAACGGAAAGCCGCCCCTGATTAGTTCGCAGAGCCATTCTCGTCCGAAGTGGAGATGATGGTCATGTACCTCCAAGGCGGGCTACCCCCCTACTCCCTGTTAAGCACTTCAGAAGGCCTCATTATGTGCTTATTCTTGGCTTACCCCAAGCTTATCATGGGCTAGGCCCCCGATAGCCCTTGGTCCATGAGATGGAATGCATCTTTCGAATCGAACATCACTGAGGCGCAGAGCAAGGTGATGCGCAGTGAAATGGCGGCCAAAGTGCAGCAGGCGGGCAGGCTTTGCTGCATTGGCGGGCGGGCCGCGGTCCGGTGCGGGGTGGGTCGGGGCGGAACGTAGTATTCTGGAAATTTTGTAAGATTGAAACACATTTTTTGGAGCGGTCGCCCACTTTAGGAAGCAGCCACAATATGGTTGGAATCTTTTGTTGATTCTGCGAGAACATGATGATGCCAGCGCCCACCTGCTTCTTTTACAAAACTGGAGGCAAGGCTTGAGCAAACAAGGAATGTGGCCCGTTGGCAGCCCACCGTAAAAGGCAAGACGGATAGTTGGGTCAGACAGGGGGCCGACATCGATGGCCTGCCATATGTCGGGAGCACATCCTGGATGTTTTTCTGGCAAGCCGCGAGAGTAGTTTCTCCTGCATGAGTTGTTGATTGATGTTTTCCCTTCTTGACCTACCATAGCGGCATATGGATCATTTGGATCACCGGTAAGGGGGGTTGTCCTCGCGGGATGTGCTAGTGACACCAGCTGTGGTGCTACCAACAAGGTCTGCACACGCGGCTTTCAGATGCCAGGTTTAACTCGAAAGTGTGGGCCTAAGCCTCTCGATTTTCCTCAGTTGAGTAATTGCCGCAAACTTCCAAGGTTTGATTAGCTGATTAGCTAATAGCTTCCCGAAGACTTATAGAATTCTCCAGGAGCCTTGAGCAACCCTAGTCCACGCCCAGCAAACAACCACAAGCCATATCCCACCAGTCCTCCAGCAAGTGGACCAAAAGAACGCGAATCTCACCCAATTCCATGAGCTGCAGGGGTGCCGTTCCTTTACCTCAGAGGTGCCACGACCATAGGCGTCCCAGGCCACCCTCTCACCGCTTCAACAGAGTTAGCGCCAGGAAAACGAGGCGGACATGGGCTGTGAGACCTTGGCAACTCTGAAGGCGGATGCCGCAGGTCGTCAGGTCGCAGGTTGCGGGGTCGATCCAGGAGCCAGGGGTCTCCGGTGCTTGCCATGGCCTTTGTTCAGGTGTCCATAGTGTCCCATTGAGCAAGTTTGACGCACGGGGTGAGTTTTAAGTGTTTTTTGGCAATGGGAGATGACAGGCAAGTGTCTTCCACCAGTGCATGCGTGTTTCCTTCTTGCAGTGGCCAGCTGTTGCCATCGGATATGAAGCCAGATCTTATCATGCCATGTATTCAGTGGCAGGGTGCCTTCTCCCCTTTTGAATGAAAGGGATCTTTGCTTGGATGGCGCAGCAAAAAAAAGGTTCCCCTTTCCACTGGGCCATCGAGTTCTTGAGAACCATTCGACATAGTTTGTACCACTCGCACAAGAGTCTTCAACTGCGAACATGGCCACCATGATGTACGATTTACAGCAGTGTTTGCATGCGAGATGGCAAATATGACTCTAGTGGTTTAAGCTCTACCAATCGGATTTGGGCAGGTGTCCGGGCAACTAAACACGCCAGGCTATGCTGACCAAGAAGTACAGGAATTTGGCTGCGACCTCGGACTTGAGTCGTGATTCCTGAGAGTTTTAACACTCTCAAGCCAAAGGACACGCACATAGCAAGAACACAAAAAGGAGACGGAATGCCAGAAGAACATGTATCATCGGTTCATCCACGATTGGGGGGGACTGGGGGGCTTGGCAAAAAGGGAAAACCTACGGAGTCTCTTGGCTTGCCCCAAACCCGAGCATCGACGCAGAGACCGATTGAGGCGATCGCCTGGAAGGTGGCGCTGGACCCTTTGGGCCAGGGCCACTTGTCCAAGGAGGACCGCCACTCGGGGTCCTCCGGCTCTCTGGCTGACTTGCCATTTCAGGGGCCGATTCCTGTCTTGAGAAGCCACCACTTTGGTGCAGGGGTTCTCATGTTTCGGCACTTTCAGGACCAAATTTGTCGCACCGCTTTTCCGCTGGGGTAAGGTTTCAAGAGATCTAAGTGACTTAGGCCGGGGATCAGAACTCAGCCCAAGTTGGAGGCCTTCCACCTCCCAAGGCTCATGACCCTCTGCACCTGGACCCTCCGAATTTTGGACGCCCGAGCCTTCAAAACCCTTCAAAACACAGCCTTGTGTGAGGTCCCAGAACCAAATCCGGCGATTTAGGACAAATGTGCACAGGGGATTCCTGTCATTTGCAAGCCCCCAGCAAATGGATGCGTTAGCCCTGCTTGCTTTGCGGGGACGAAAGGTTTCTTTCTGATTGCGGGCTTTGGGCTTTGTGCGGCGGGGGCAGTGTTTGGGACACAGGCCTAGTCCTTATATGTATTTGTTGTCAAGAGTCCTACATTGCAGGTATGTTATTTGAGGGAGTGGTTCCTCCGTCAACAGAACGGTGCTTACAGTGACCGCCACTGTAGGTGACATGCGGAAACCGTCACTTGAAAGTATCAAGGTAAATAGTGCTGATGTTGGAACTAAATATTTGTGTAGACGCAGCTGTGCAAAAGCCCCCTGGAGTTGTTGTTTCAAAGCAGCCTGAACTGCCGCGGAAGAAACCCGCTCTTCTTCAAGATTGTTTCGGCCCATGTCCTGTGCCCGTGAAAGGACTCATCCAAAGCTCATGTGTCAGCTTGTTTAAAAAAAAGGGTCCCTGGCAACATGTAGTGCCGCCTTTTCACGTGGTGTACAAAAAGGACTGTTTCTTGGTTCAAATGGGTCTACTCGCTTGCCAGCCATGGCTGAAACCGTGCCGGAGAGCAGACGATTGAAAGGGCAACAAAAGCAAACCAACTATGGCAGCTGCAAATGTTATACCTCCCTCAAGCAGGCGACCTGGTTGAGGGTCTTAACTTTGCATCTTTTCGGTACTTAGTTCGAGCCTGGATTGTTTGCCATCCATTCTGCTCGTGTTCGCCAAGTAAGGAAAAGGTCAATAGGGCTGTAGAAGGCTTACGTCAAGAACTAGCAGATAGTCTTTTTGTGGCAAATGTTGTGTCCTTGCAACATCTGGGTATTGCTTGTTCCCAGGTGCTCGAAGCTGCCGTGATTCAGTAGCAGTATGTCTTGGATCATGTCTGCCATACACATTTGCCCTGACATACGTATTACTTGGGCATCCGACAAACCTGCGACAGTGGATGATGAGACTTATGCAATCACCGCTTGCAAGAAAAGATGACCGTCAGTCGTTGAGGATCTATCCAGAGTTTACTCTCGCCAGTTTCTAAGAGGAAAGGATGACAGCCCAAAGGCTAGCAAACCGTTGGGTCATTTTGCCAGGGACCAAAGAGCAAACCTGAGTGATTTCGCGGACGGGCAATGGTCCTGCGCAATCGATGGAAGTTGGCAGCAGATTTTGCTTCTGAATTCTCAGCAGATCCACCAAATTTACTGCGAGCTCATTTGGGGTGGGGGTGGGGGAATGAGGTCACCACATTGCCAGACTTAGCTCACTCTTTTAGCTGTTTGCCTTTTTGCATTTGCTCGCTTTGCCTTGCCGCAAAACATTGACTTTTTGCATGGGGTCTCAAGTCTCACTCTGGCCCACGAGACAGAATCCATTGATGCGGGTTCCCAAACTGCTGCAATGACTCTGAGTTGTGAAGGGGTTGTTCGGGATCTGGAGGGATTGCCTTTGCCTTTCGATCCTCCAGGATTGGTTCAATGCCGTCCGCAATCGTCGGCAGCTGAGAACACATCTCCGAGTTGTTCAAAGAGGGGCCCTTTATGGACCCTGGTTTTAGGTTGGCAGTTTTTTCTTCTTCTTCTTTTAACACAACAAGAATGGGTTGTCAAGATGGACCTTCAAACACCGTGTGGGGTCGGAAAAATCTCATGCTGGAGTGGAGTCATCCAGTTGCATGTGAGTGTTCATCAGAAGCAACGCACTGAGTTTGCCAGTTGAAAGCACGGTCGGCAGCGACCACCAGATGTTGGTTGGATCCATTCGCAGAAAGCACCTGATCAATCGAAAAGTGAAAAACCGAGGACTCCACCGATTCAACCAAGGGCTTTGCACAATCTTATAAACTACCCGTTTGCTGTCGCCAGGTAAAACCAGCCCACCCGCTTAGGGATTCCTTGCACAGCCAAATTCCAAATTCATAGGGCCAATACCCCTTGTACCGCGCTTGTTTATGTGGAACAACCAAACTCAGGGCCAACAAACACATTCGTGGGGCGTTTCCTCATCGGAATCCACCATGTTCACTACTCCACAGGGGTGTATCTTTTGTTGTGGGCATTTTTTTTTGCTTCGGTGGCTTTAAGCGAAACGAGAAGGAAGACCACCCTGTTGGTCCCCTAAAAAGTCCGACACAGCCACGCTCCTGTTCACGCCCCCGTAGCTCTCAGTTTTCGCCGAGGCATCGGCTTCAACGGCGACCTCCGGAAGCTTTGGGATGAGGTGGCGAAGCCCGGCCACGGCGCGGGACTCGCGGGGATATGGAGAGACGGGGGGTGTCTCCAAATTTGAAGCCCAAAAGTAATTGCTCAAATCCGATGCATGTGGAGCCCAAAAAGCTGTCCATGATTGTGGAGTCTCAAAACTTACCCCAAAATATGGGTATGGGTCAAAGTCAAACCACCAGGGGACCTGAGGTTTTGGTCCCATCCACGCCAAGCAACAGAGCAGGATGTTAGGAACCCTTTGCACTATAGGTGTGTGTATGTGTTTGTTTGCTTGTTTTCCTCGGGTGTCCCTTTGAGGCTAACCCCAAAAGAGGTAGCCCCAAACACAGCTATCAGCTCTTGTTTTTGAGGAAGCCCTCTCCACAACGCTGTTGGGGGGCCGTTTGAAAGGGAGCCCAAAAGGGCAGCCACCTCTTCGGGGATCCCCCCCACACTCGAAGCTGCGCTGGAAAGAGAACGGCCGCGGCAAAGGATCGCTTTCCGCTTCGAAGCCCCAAGCCTCAACGGGATTATTGAAAGAACTCTTTCGTGCAAGGTGATGGTTGACGCAGAAATATCTATGTATAATATGTTTAGACATATATGTATATATATATATATATATACACATATATATATATACATATGTGTATATATATATATGCACATATACACATTTATACATATATATATATAGTACACCCTGCAAAAAGGTTTACAATTGTTGATATAACATGTAGATACATATGTACAGAATTCATACACATGCACATGCACATGCGCATACATGCACATAGACACGTATCACTGTGTTGTAGGCAGCAGCCTGCCCAACATCCCCCAGTTCGGGGCTTTTAAATGTTTTGAGACACACACCCACACACACACACCTTCCACCAGACCTGGTGTGTTCTTCTCCAGCAACTGCACTTATGGGGCTGGATTATGGGCATCACAGGTTTCATAACCTTGACTGCCGCGCCGCACCGCGACATAGGTGTTCCGATGTGATGGCGTCTTCCAATCATGTCCCGACTCTTTTGAATCCACCAACACCTTGATGTCGATGTGCGAAACAAGTGCTGGAGTATTCAGATTGTCCATGTTTGAACCTTTGTGAAATTTGTCGAAGAGTGCTCGTAAGTTTCAGCAATGACACTTTTAAGAAGTGTCTACTCATCAATGAGTTCTTGCTAAGAGATATTTTTTTCCGCAGCGTCCCAATAGATCGAAGGCCGCACTGTGTAAGAAGCGCAAAGGCTGAGGAGACTCACCAGCAAAGGCATGAGTAACATATTGTGTAAGGTGGAAGACCTTGACCTAGATTTGAATGGGAGTTTCGCCGAAGCTCGCACTAGGGATTCATACCAGGGGAGCGGGTTCATGCCTGTTGCCTTGGAACACTGGTGATCGACCTCTGCTCCATGCCAAAGCTGGCATGCCCCCAGGCTTGAACAAGCAATTGATGCGATGCCGTCGCACCAGGAATGGGCTCAAGCACGGAGGGTCTTGTGAAGCCCCGCTTGTGTCACACACATCCCGCAGTGTCCACTGGAACACCTTCAGCCGGGATTCGGGATTTTTTTTTCGAGCACCGTGACATCTCAACGTTTCAGTCACATGGAAGCCATGCCAGATGGAAGCCAGGTCCACCACCCGGAGCCCTTCTGTGACAAAATTTGCCTCAGCTGTGGCCATCGCCATGGCAGCCTCGACATCTGAGGCATGAGCTGGTGGTAGTTTTGTCTATGGTGATGAAGATGTGGCTGTGGGTCAAAACCAATGCAATCCCATTTTGGGGTAGGTGCACCACCCATTTTAGTCTATTTTAGTGGGGATTGGGATGTTACTGGGGGGTTCGGGCTTTTGACCCATGGCCATGTCTGAGTTCTACTCACCAAGGTTTAAAAGCTCCAACGTCCCACTTATTTTGCGGGCTCCGTAAATGCTGTCTCATACAAATAAGTAGACAGCCACGAGCTTGAAGCCTTAAGGTTTTGCAATGCATCGTTTCCTTTACATCCCAGTCCAAATTGGCACCCAGCCCGAGACTGCAGCCTGGAAGGCTGCCAGCTGCTGCATAGGCTGTAACCAAAGTTTCATGTGAAGCAAACCAACAAGGAGCTTTGATTTGTTTCTTGCCGTTATTGCGGGTGGATTTCCGCATTGCGGTTCTTCTGGGTGCACTTCATCCAACCAACATATTATTAGCGGAGGGTACATCCGTGACGGGGCTCAATACATATCCATTTGTTGGTAAAGTCGGGAAACATATTCTGATCCCATGTCCACTTACGGGTGGGGAACAGGGGGTCGGGTTCTTTCGCGAACAAATGAACCTGTTGAACACGTGTGTTCGAACATGAGAAGGGCATCAAAGGCCTGGGCAACTGTTTGCACCGTGTGGAGGGCCTGCGTGCAGTAATCAATCGCCCAGGCGCGTGGAAGGCTGCAGCATGTCGGTGCCATGTCTATGTGCGTGTGCGTGTGCGTGTGCGTGTGCGTGTGTGCGGGTGTGCGTGTGTGCGTGTGTGCGTGTGTGCGTGTGTGCGTGTGTGTGTGTGTGTGTGTGTGTGTGCGTGCGTGCGTGCGTGCGTGCGTGCGTGCGTGCGTGCGTGCGTGCGTGCGTGCGTGCGTGCGTGTGTGTGTGTGTGTGTGTGTGTGTGTGTGTGTGTGTGTGTGTGTGTGTGTGTGTGTGTGTGTGCGCGTTGGTGTTTTTTGTTGAGGTTGGGCCCTTAATCCAGGCGAGCGGCATTTCTTTGCCGCACCGCATTTCAAGAATCACTATCACCCCCTCAACGATTTCGACACGTGTCGACATGGTGCATTTTTCCTAGGGATCCTTCTCACTAGCTTGCAGTACCCTCAAACATCACCTCAACAAGAGGAAACTCGGAGACATAGGAACCGAGGTAGTAATTGCATGAAAAGCCTAAGCTCACCACCAGAGTTAGCGGCGCAGCCGCTGCTCACACCCTGCTGCACACACACCCGCACTTGGATTCGGACACGCTGAGACCTCCCACAAAGATCAAGTTGTGTTTGGGGAAGGTGTTTAAAGGCAACACTCAATTTGCTGCCTCGGCCACAGAGATACCTGGACATGCCGCACATGGGGCCACGAAACACAATGCCGCGCAAAGAAATGCTGCTGCTTGGATCTGCCTGAATGCAGGATAGTTGACAAATGGCACATAGCAGTTGACCCCCTCAATTCAAATCACGCATCTGACGTATTCTGTCGAGCCCTTCACCTGCCAGACCCTGGCAATATCAGTTCGTGTTTTCTGACTCCTTCAAAGGTCCCTATGTCCAAGCACTTGGTAAACCTACCCACACCACGGGTTTGTGCACATACTGAGCTCACCCATGAAGGGCCTTTCCAGGGGAACCTTCTTTCAAATAGCAAAGTTCTCGTTCAGAGTTGGGAGTGAGCCCAAACGGAACGAACCCTCCCCATCCGCTGGCAGATGGGGTGTGGAACCCCCCGGATCTCGCGCGCCAGGGCCTGCGAGCGCAGATCCTCGCGGCGAAGCGGGAGCTCGAGGAGAAGACGGCCTACACGGTGCAGCTGGATCAGGAGCTTCAGCAGGCGCCCAAAAAGCCCGCCCGCTTTGGCCGGGCGTTTCCGTTTTTTTTGGTTCTCCGTCGGGCAAAAGAGGGATGCAAAGGGATTCCGATGGATCTGATATGATCTGATCCAGCGGTTTTTTAATGGATTGAAATAGTACTTTGAGAGTACCAACACAGACAAACAGGGAGAAGCTGGAATCCACAGAAGCTGCATTTGAACCGTTTGTAGATTTTGTGAGATCACTTGTCAAACTAGTTTATATTTGCCTGTTCACTGAGACTAACAAGCACAATCAATCATGTCGCTGGATGTTGGGATGCGGCAAAAGCTGAGGCAGTGATTCAGGGGAATTCCCAGGTACTCTCTTGCACCATACTCACGGAACCCGGACGTGGATTTTGTTGCAGTTCATTGTAGTAGAAGCCCTTGCAGTTGTTTTTTGCCCCTGGCCTGGACCGGCTGTTGAAAGCCTTGATAGAAGCCATACCAGGATACCCAGTTGGGGCAGCGGCAGAGGTTTTCAGTAGGAGGTGGCCCATTTCGTGGCTTTCTTGGGGCATTTCGAGGATGTCACATGGACCTACCCGTGAGCCGTGCAAGGTGGAACAGGACAGCTATATTGGTCTTTTACATGCTGAACTTATATATGTGTTCTGGCTCGGATGCGCCTTGCGGCACCCCGCCCACGGTCATCACCTGGGGGGGGCGCGATGTAGTGGCCTTGGCCCCGGCTTCATCTTCTCCGCCCGTTGCCAGCGAGGTTGCAGTCAGCGTTGCGTGGGAGAAACATGGCACGTTGCTGCGGATACCCGTTCTGGAGGTTTTCCTTGTGGTGGATGCCCACCCAAACCTCCTCCAAAACCAGCAGACCAACAACCTAAATGTCCATGTCCTCCTAGGAAACCAGCACTTTTGTCCGGGCCTAAGATGTTCTTGGTTTTGGTCGGGTTTTGCATTTTGTCTGAAGAGCCACCCGGGTCGGCTTCCTCGACAGGCAAACGAACGTCAGAGCCTGCGCAGCAACTTGGACTGTAGCTGAGGGCCCGCCCCTGCTGCTTCTCTTTCTTGGGGCGGTTTCCTCTCAACATCCGGCTCCAAAAACAGGTCTCCATGTTTTTACCGTGACCACTGGGATTTGTTTCGTTGTGCATGGTAAATTTTGGTTAGGGTGTATTTTTAGGCAGCCCCTAGTTGGTGACTTGGATTGGTGGTTTGCGGATTTGAACCTCTGCGATAAGTGGGAAACCACCCCTAACCTCAAAATCACTTGTCCAAACCACCAGTTCGAGCGAAGCTGATGTTTGAGAGTAGTGTTAACCCCGGATTAATAAAACCCTGGTTGATGAATAGGGGGTTTCCCCTTTTAGAGGGGATTCATCACTTTTGGAGGGAACACCCCCTTAAAAAGGGACGGGTTTATTAATACTGGGTCAACATTACCGGACAAAACTATCTGGACAT